CAAGATGAAGGAAAGCCATAAATAGCAGCATCCTCTAACACTTTCGTGAGTATAGGCCCAATAGCATCTCCTCCCCACTTGAGAAGTTCAATGGAAAGCCCATCCAAATCCTCACATTTACCATTTGCCAATTGTTTGAGTTGAGTCATCACTTCAACTTCTGAAAATAAGCCTGGATTTCCTTCACAATGTGGCATAGATGCAACATTGGAAAAGAAATAAAGCTTTTCAGCAAAAGAAATCAAAGACTTGGGATCAAGAGTGGGTTTAGAAGATCGCACTGCCAACCGCCTCCAAAAGGATTTGGGATTCTCCAAGAGCTCCTTTGTCAAGCACTCTTGCTTCTGCCTCAAAAATGCTCGTTTCTTGGACTTCACCAAGTCTTTGTAAAGTCTTGTCATAATCAGCCGATTGTGAAGATCCAAGGATTTATCAAGTGATCTCGCCCTCGCTTGCTTGCAATCAAAGTCAAACCATCCATTGCAAGGAATACCTCTAGCTCTCCTGGTCTTATGTCTCAAAAAGAACTTAGAAGCAGAGTTTTGGAGCAACTCAGTTAGTTGCAAACTAGATGTATGTGGATCAAGGCTCCAAGTAGTACAAGTCAAGAGGTCTTGGAAATGTTCACTATAAAGTTGCTTCTTACTAGCATCTAAACAAAACTTGGGGGAAGTAGAAACATAGTGACATGTAGGGAGAGGGATTGACGTTGACAACAAAAGAGTAAATAAAAGAGGTGTATGATCTGATTCTGGTTGAGGCTCTAGAATATCAAACGCTGAGATAAATGAACTATTAGTGGCTGATGACAAAAGATAATCTATAGTGCTAACACCAGTAGAGGAAAAACATGTATTGGAGTGAGAGTTGGGAAAGAAAGAAACACCATTGAGAACTTTCAGATTACAAGTGGCTCCAAAAGTCAAGAAATGCTCAGTCAAATCATTTGTACAAGGATCACAAGAGACTCTAGACCACAAACTATCTCTACTTTCTTCAAAAGAGTGGGAAGACAAGGAACTATCAAATTGTGTAAATTGAGCGGAACGTATGCGGGCATTGAAGTCTCCAACAAGAAAAACTTCACCTTTGTCTTGATATTTGAGAACATCTCCAATGAGCCGATGGAATGGTTGACTTCGATTGCAAGTGCTTGTGGAGTAGATCTGCATGGATAATGGTGCAAAATAACAAACTGCCAAATAACTGTAAGATCCTCCAATCGATCCAAGACGAAGCCAATGATATTGTTTCCCAATATCTTGGCTTTCCAAATGTATCATAGGAAGAAGTTCAGATCTGATGAAAGTAGCAATGCCTCCAAAGCCTCCTCCTGCTCGTCGATTTCTATGGTTCCAAGTAGATCCCACCAGAGTAAACCCTTGTATCTCTCCAATAACATTACTTTCATGCTCCCAAGTCTCAACAATGTTGAGGATGTCCGCCATCTTCCAAATCGGATGTGCACTCACATACTTAGTTGTAGATAGGCCTCTTATGTTCCACATCAACACCCTCAATCTCTTGGATTGCTAGGTTGATGATTGTCTCCTCCTCTTGGTGATAATAGCTTGACTATCACGTAGATAAGCTACAAAACCTGCATCTTGAGCTTCTTTGACTTTTGCAAGCTCCTTCCTCCTTGCTTCAACTTGAAGAGGTGTAAGATCTGGATCTAACCAAATCCTCCATCCCTTGAGAATGGCCTTGTTAGCTAAAGCCATATCACGTTGAGCTTGATCTACAAACTTAACAATAATGGCACGAGGTTGTGTGCCTTTGTTGCCAATACGATAAGCATGAGCCAAATCCGGATTAGGAACATCAAGTGTTTTAGTGAAAAACTTGGTGACCACACTCTTCATCTCTTCCTTCTCAGATTCAGGTAGACCCGAAATCCTCACATTCTTCATACGAGCAAATTTATTAGCCTTTTCAATCTCTTGCTCTTGACAGAAAGAGATATGAGCAGACTTGGTAGCTTCAGCATATGATTTCATTTTCACTTCTAGAGTTTCAACCACTTCATGCAAAGCAGGAGTAGTAACAGTAGAAGCTTGAGAACCAACCTTGTCTTGAATGTCCTCAACAGATCTAGAGATTTGGAGCATGATCTTCTCAAAACTTTTGTGAGAAATCTTCAACTCCCTGATTTCATTCTTTGCAGCAGCCAAGGCAACATTTTGTGCCTTGAATTCTTGGCGTAGCACTTTCAATTCCTCCAAAACCGTTTGCACAAGATTGAGAAGTTTGTTTTCAGAATCCATCATGAACCCAACTTTGCAAGATGTTACACAAGCTCAAAGTTTCGAAATGAAAACTTCTTGACAGCAGCTTTGTTGGGGCTGACAATTCGCAGGTATGTGCGCCCGGCCGTCGTGAACAAGCCCACCAAATCTCAGCTCCTGTTGACACTCCAGCAAGAAGATATGGCCCCCGCAAGATTCATGCTCAAAGCCCTAAACTCAAAGTTTCGAAATGACAACTTCTTGACTGCATCTCCGTTGGAGCTGAAAATTTGCAGTTATGTTTGCCCGGCCGTTGTGAACAAGCCCACCAAATCTCAGCTCCCGTTGACACTCCAGTAAGAAGATATAGCCTCCGTAAGATTCATGATCAAATCCCTAAACTCAAAGTTTCGAAATGACAACTTCTTGACAGCAGCTCCGTTGGGGCTGAAAATTTGCAGGTATATGCGCCCGGCCGTCGTGAACAAGCTTACCAAATCTCAGCTCCCGTTGACACTCCAGCAAGAAGATATGGCCTCCGCAAGATTCATGCTCAAATCCCTAAACTCAAAGTTTCGAAATGACAACTTCTTGACAGCAGCTCCGTTGGGGCTGAAAATTTTCAGGTATGTGCGCCCGGCCGTCGTGAACAAGCCCACAAAATCTCAGCTCCCGTTGACACTCCAGCAAGAAGATATGGCCTACGCAAGATTCATGCTCAAATCCCTAAACTCAAAGTTTCGAATGTCATCAATGTTGATGATGTCCACCATCTACCAAATAGAATTAGCATTCACATGCTTCGTTGTAGAAAGGCATGTAATATTCCACATTAACACACTCAAGTTCTTGGATTGCTATGTTAATGGTTGTCTCTTGCGTTAAATGATAATTGCTTGTCTATCACTGAGATAAGAAAAAAATCCAACATCTTGAGCTTCTTTGAGTTTTGCAAGCTCATTTCTTCTTGACTCTACTTGTAGAGATGTGAGATCAGGACGTTGGCTTAATATTGATAGGAGTGAACGTACTTGTAGATTATGTGACGGTGAGTACATTGAGGATGTAGAGCATTTATTTGTTAATTGTATCTGGAGCTGAATTTTTGTGGAACACTATAGTAGGGCAGGGCGCAAGAGCCTGCAAAATCTCAGGCCGAACGCCATTCGGAGCGAGAAGTTGACGTGTCTTGAAGGTCTGAGCTTTTTGAGAGGAGAGGGTCGAATCTTGCAGGAGCCGTAACTTCGAGCTCGAGTGTGAACGGGAGCTAAAATTTCGTGGCATTGTGACGTTGGGCAAGGCGCTCAAGCCTGTCAATTTTTCAGTTTGAACGGAGTTCCAAAGTCACAATGCGTCCAATTTTGAATTTGGAACTTTGAGTTTCAAGATTTGAATTACAAAATTTTAGGACAAGAGGTTCTTACGGGAGCTGTTTCTTTGAGGTTGGGAGTGATCAGGAGCTGAATTTTTGTGAAACGCTGGAGTAGGGCAGGCCGCACGAGCCTGCTAAATCTCATGCCGAACGCCATTTAGAGCGAGAATGTCTTGGAGATATGAGCTTTTTGAGAGGGGAGTGCCGAACTTTGCAAAGGTCGTTATGAACAGGGACTGAAATTTTATGACATTGTGACGTTGGGCAAATCGTTCAAGCCCGTCAATTTTCAGATCGAACGGAGTTCCAAAGTCAGAATATGACCAATTTTGAATTTCAAGATTTGAGATTAATACTGGAAATAATGTAGATTTTGAAAACTCGATAGTTTCAAGTTTAGTAAAATCAGTACTTCCACATAAGGCTTTTTGCATTTAGAGCGTCATCTTGTGAGTAATGAAGAAGTGTGTTAAGATCCCGGACTGTGGTAAAATACTCTTCCCGTTACAAAAAACCTGACTAGATTGTTTTCATAATATAATAGCATTAGTAGTGAACTATTCAGATATTCTAATTTCAAGCTAGGCTAACTTCCCTCATCTGATCTTCACATTATTCTTGGTCCCACACTAAAACTATCTTCCTTATCATTTTCTGATGTATCATGCACTGAACTTTTATCATGATAAGGTGAATCTTTTTACATGTCTGCTTGTCTAACTAAATGGTAAATAGATCAAGCCCTTGGTACCCAAAGGATCAAAAGGCTGACAAACACAATTATAAAGTAAATAAATGACCGATTATGCATACCCATGAGTGAGTCTTAGTAACGGCATTTTTCTTAGAACACCGACGGGTGCAATGGTTGGAAGGAACCAAAAGTAAAAACAGAAAACTTACTTGCTAATGCAATAATCCTTACGTTGTCAACCTTACTTGTACTCTTGCTAAACAATGCCTCATTGCATCAAAATCCATTAAGCCCTTCAGTTCTAGGTGCCAGTGAAACATATATCATAGCAATTAAACCATTAGTCTAAACAATGCGTCATTACATCAAAAGCCATCAACACCCTTCAGTTCGGGGTGCCACTGAAACATATATCATAGCAATCAAACCACTAGTCTAAACAATGCGTCATTACATCAAAAGCCATCAACACCCTTCAGTTCGGGGTGCCACTGAAACATATATCATAGCAATCAAACCACTAGTCTAAACAATGCGTCATTACATCAAAAGCCATCAACACCCTTCAGTTCGGGGTGCCACTGAAACATATATCATAGCAATCAAACCACTAGTCTAAACAATGCGTCATTACATCAAAAGCCATCAACACCCTTCAGTTCGAGGTGCCAGTGAAACATACATCATAGCAATTAAAACATTAGTCATGAATTTAAAAAAGCTTCTCTTCAACAGTAATCTCAATGTAAATTTACATGGAGCAACGCTGCTCAAAGAAACTGACCTATAAGTGAAGATGCTTCCAGTGGGCTATGCCAATTGCATCGAAACCTAGAAGTAATGCGAACAGAGCACCAGCGGTTGGAGGGAGAAAAAATTCTGTTCGAAGAATCGAATTTCATCTATTGGAAAGAAGATGGTGTCAAGAGATAGACAACACTTCTAAGGGAGTGCTAGCTTGAATCTTGTAATCACATGAAAGAAATTCGTAGCACGAGCTGAACCGATTTGATAGAATCGTCCTCGCCAAAACGCTCCACAAAGAATGTGTCATGTTGGGAATACCCCGAAATGCCTCCTTTATGACCGAGTTCACGAGGCTGAAATACTTTCCCAGAAACATGTCTAACGTCATGACTTTGTCACCAGCTCCAGGTTAGCTTGTCCAACCTTGCAAATCTCTTTCCTCACCTTCTTTGTAGACCGAAACCCGACATCCTGAACTTAGTGTATGATTAAAAGGACAATCAACTAGCCATCATAGTGAGATCTCTACTTTGACTCAACTATGCGACGAAACTAGCATGGAACTGTTTGCAGAATATAGGCCACCACAATCTTAAGGCATAATCTACCCAGTATATGCGTTGGAATTAGAGAAAAAATTGACAGCTATATTTACAAGCAAGGGACCTAGTGAAAGAGCAGCAACTATGTCTTGGTGGTGATGGGTGGTCCAAAAACGAAATTTAAAACCCAGATTAGGTTCGGTTCGAAGTGGACTGTCGCTATAGTTGCCACCTCTGGACTTCATATCGCTATACATCCTGTCACAAGCATAGAGACGAAACAACGTTAGAACTACAAGCCTTAGACATTGATAGTCTTAGCTCAAACTTATGGACTTTGAGCCTTGAAGTGAGAGGGAATGAACAGGGAAGAACCCATCTTGTGAAATCAAGATGGCAATAAAAGGAAGGATCAATCTTGAAGACTCTAGAAACTGGAACGTTTACATAAAGCTCTCCTGACAAAATAACATCTTCTGATGACAAACATACTGATGAACTATAGTCAAACGATGGATATATAATGTAAAACATGTACACAAGGTAAACCTGTAAATCTGAGCTTTTGGATGTTTGCAAACAAAAGAACCGCATAGAAGATTCTGCTAGTGATAATGTGTTCAAAGACACAGTCCATCTTCACCTCTGAGCGAAAGCGAACTGATGACAATTCAACGTGTTAGCTGGGCACTTGAGACCTCATATTCCGGGTATCATCCTCTGCAACAAGTGATCGCAAATTTTTGTAGGAACGAACACCTCATTAGAATGAGATGGAGTTACCATAAAAGCCGCCAAAGCTCTCTCTTAGTGCAAACTCTTCTCGCATATGTAGTGGTCTTGAATCTGTGATATCAACAACAGCGTCGACAAACAATCAACAGGTAAATATGATTGGATTTCTTTTGCTTCATTTCCACCAACTTAAATAAGCTTTCATCAAATACCCCCTGACTTGCAACCAATCATATTTTTCTACAGAATATGACTTTTGTTAGAAATTCATATCAAGACTAGCTCGAATGAGCTTATCATTGAAATTTGAATTACCAAAATCAGGTACATGCCTAATTTTTACGACACTACAATGTGTTGTTTTTCTCTATACAATACGAAATAATCAAATTATCCCAGAGATTTTACATTCGAAATCTGTTCTAGATGTATTGACAATGTCTGATGACTCCCTTGGTGTAGCCATAGCTTGCTCCACTCCCCTTTCCCTCACGTATGCAAAACTCATATCAATCTCTAATTAACACTCATAACTTTTTTAATTTAAAATCAACTCGAAATCCACTTAAGAGGGTTAACTCCAGACCATTTCTCAACTACACAGCACTAAGAGTGTGATCATTGCATGAAGAAATGACCACTTGCAAGGTACGTACTCTTACCTGTAATAAGATGAGATTAATCTTTACAGTCAAACTAACAATACAGACAAATTCCATTCCTCAAACTAGAACTTGAAAACCTAACTCAAAAACAGAATCTTAACGTGGCTGGTGGTTGCTTAACAATACTTAGCCTTGAGGTAAACTAGTAGATACCCAGAGTAAAAATTAATAATTTTACTTAAGCTCCGATTGAAACTTCTCTGTGGTTAAAATAATATAAATCTTTTTACTCTTTACAATTACTATTCTATTGGAAAATAGAGAAACAAACTTGGAAACTAGCGATTAGGTCATATAATGATGTAAATTTTGATATCGAAGTCAACTTCTTGAGCTTTAGCAATCAAACATTACTTGTAAATAGTAAAAGTTTGATACTATCTTAAACCATTTCAATTACCAATATACCTCAAGGAATAAATGGGTTTACGACCATTTCAAGCCATTAAAGTAAGATGCTCAAGTTTTCATCATAAACTCGGTAACATTACTGGTGTGACTGTAAAGAACAGATGTCAAGAAATGATGGGAATAAATCTGGAATCCTTGGAGAGTAATTGTCCCTATGTCTTACAATGAAGGAGGAAACAAAGAAAACAGACGATGATTGTGGAGAAAGTTAGATTTTTGTCTGATATATCATAAACTTGATATCAAACAATCTAGTGACCGTAAATAGATGTAATATTGTTGGGGTGGTGGGGTGCATCTCAATAAAGATCGACAGGTTGTTTGCAGTGTTCAAGATAAGTGGTTCAGATTGTTATATGTGAGGCGTAGTGAATCAAAGAAAGTTTATATTTCAAATAAAAAGAGTGCAGAGTTTAAAGTGGACATCTTTCTGAATCTAACATGACACTCTTAGTTTTACATGGTGGGAGAATCATGACAAAAGGAACATTTAAATTGTGATTTCTTTCTGCTCAAGGAAACTTTCACCAAAAACCTCACGAGTCTTTACAAGGTCTGTAATGTGGCATAGCTTTCGAAGTTTGGTGTCCTTCCTGAGAATAAAAAACCAGTGTTTTTTAAAAGTTCAGATTCTTCTTAACAATGAAAGAAATTCAAAGAGGGAAGAAGGTGAAAAGAGTCAAATCTGATAGGTGGCTAGAGTATAGTGACACTGAGTTCGTTGTTTTGTTTGGAAGCAATAGGATCTGATAAAATTAATGATTTTGAAGACAGTTTCACTTTATGAATAGTAAAAGTTAGTTCCTAACTTCTACCATAAATAACTACTAATATATATTGTTGGGGTTGAAGTGAGGTTAAACCACCATCATTCACCTTGAGATTAGGTTTTCGAGTTAGGACATGAGGCTCAAGTTATGTATATATTGCTACTGTAGATCTAACTAATTCAGATAATCACGATAGCCACCTAGACAGTGGTCAGTCCGTTGGAGTTGACACTCTACTTGGAATTACAAGTCATTCTCAAATTAATCAATGCGTTGTCTAACTTAAGGTGATGGGAGTAATAGCAAACCATGGCTGCAGAGGGGAATCATCACATACTACACATAAAATTCGTTGTATAGTGTCAGAGGAGTGAAGAGTGACAAAAAGAGCACCATAGTGTACTGAAGAAAGCTAGATATGTACCTGATTTTGTTAGAAACTCAATATCAGTAATCAAACTCACTGAAGCTTTCTGATGTGCACCTTAGAGAAAGGACAAAGCTATTAGTATGATTGTTAGAATCAAGAAGGAGTTTTGGGTAGCAGCTTTGAAGGCTGCTAACTACATCCAAAAAAAATTCCGACTTCAGAAATGAAGCATGGAATGTGAAGAATTTAAATGTTCAAAGTGTTTGATGTCCCAATTTATGCTGACAAACCAAAGGAGCAGAAGAAGAAACCAGTGATTAAAGCTTCAATCTTCGTCTTCATTGGTTATGAAGAATAATTGTACAGATACATTCTTCTCAACCCCAAAAACAGCAGAACAATCTGGAGTAGAGATGCATTGTTTGATGAAGCGAATATTTGGGATTATATGTATGGAAGAAACAGCTTTGAAATACCTGATATAGTTGCACCTATTGACGTAGTTAGAGTATTACCATTTCAAGGTGTTGCTGATGATAGAGATGGATCATCACCCCAATCACATGATTTCCAGCAAACTTAGATGACTGCAGGTTTTTGAAGTTGAAATTAAGGTGTTCTTTAGTTAAGTAGACATAGAACAAGAGGGTGCCACAGTCTGAAAGATCTGTAGAAGCTGCAGACTGGAGCTCTCACTGTGAGTATAATCAAAGTGGTCACACTCATGCTGAGTTGCTAACAGCTGTCGGGGTATAGCAGAAAGAACAGTGTGAGACAGAACCCTACAGACGACAAAATGCTCTTCCAACTTCCAAATTTGTTGAAGCTAGAAATTAAGCTTCGAAGTGTGGTAGATATGGAACCCTGTAAGAGATGGAGTTTTCTATGAAGTGCAAAGAGAAATCTGAGATTGGAAGTAGGAAGAATATGAAGCTTGTTAGTAAGAACATGGCGCAGGTATAGAATCAAATTGGATACCTACTACTTCTCTATAGTCAGAGTGCCTGAATGAGCATCAAAGCAAGTTTATTGCGAGTAATAGAGTGATTGCGTACTAGGTCTGACGTGTGATGAGGAGAATGCAAGGGTTCATGAACCTAACATGTTGCGTTGCACTTGCAAGGAAGAGTTCTAACTGAACAATAGATTCACATTCTCTTACTTTTACAATTGCATGTCTGTCCAGCCGACGCATTCTGATCCATATGTGGACTTGACCACATGAAAGTCCAGAAGATTGACTCCAGAAACCTCTCAAGCCAATAACGTAGGACTCGAGAGTTAATCAACATCACAAGTACTCTATGGATGGGGGCATTTAAGAGGAATAAATGACAGACTACACAAAATATAAGTGGAAATCTGTCTGCAACACAGAGAACCAATTACAGCTTCCAAATAGAGGTAACCAACAAAAAAGACTAACATACCTTGTTTCTTCCCCATGGAAATGGCCTGTGATGAAGGCTCACAGAAAGGAACATTAATGTCCAATACATTGCCTAGTCTCTCCAGCCCCTGACTTAATTTTCTGTACTTGTGCTGAAAGGCGTCCTGACCATTTTCGCTTTCATCTTCAGAATCACTTACAAGGTCTATTACCTCGATTGGCCGTTTCGAACCGACCTGATCAAGACACTTCTCTTGGTCAACTTTGTGCCACAAATCTTCTGTAACGGCAACATCCTCTCTCACATACAGGGGAGATTTGGCCTCAATATTTGAAACAGGACCAAAGTTCAAAGCCCACTGATCATGGAAAACGTCATGATCAACGTCCCCTTGAAACGCAGGTAAGTCCAGATCCAAGGCAGATGGATTTTGATTCAATGCTGTTTGAGTGCCTTTAGCAGAGGTGTTATACGGTTGCAGGGCAGATGGGTCATCAATAAAATTTGTCTGCGTGCCTTCAGTAGCGGTGCTGTACCAAGTCTGTGTACTGATAGAGCTCTGGGAAACCGGGATGAAACTAGTTTGTGTTTCCACTGAACACCTCGCTGGTTTGATACCCCTCTCCAAAATAGTCTTCAAATAAGACGTAGTATCTTCATCCAAGCCCCTACATTCCAAGCTTCTAAGTTCCAGCTGCAAATTTTCTGACTCGCACGTGGATGAGTATTTCGAGGCCAGCAGTTGCAAATAACCCTTCAAATTCTTTTGTTGTCTCCTCAACTCATCGTGATGTTTAGAGTCCTTCTTCAACAGCTCAACAAATTGCTCATTCCTGACTGTGGCTTTCCCAAGCTGTTCTTCTAATCTTCCTGCACCTTTGCGAACTTCTGTTGTTTCCTCTTTCAAGTTAAGAATGTCAATTTTCAGCTTAAGGATTTCGTCAAGACTCTCCTTTTCTTTTGATGCTGCTTGACTTTCCGCGTTCTTCAATCGTAGTCCAAGCTTTAGGACTTCTTTTCGACATTCTTGCAGGTCCTGGTGCCATGTACATAACGACCCCGTTAGAAAATAAAACGGCTTGATAGTTTGATCCTGTTAGTCAAGCTCACGATCGGGCCGGTTCAACATCTTCAAGTGTGAATCTCGCAATGCTCTAGAACATTGTGATGCTTAAAGCTCACTTCTGAGCTGTAGGCTCTGGCACTGTGCAGTATGTCACGGCTCTGTTCAAGCATCGCAGTCAATTTATCCTGTATCAGTCTAGATATTCAATACGAAAAGACTTTCTGAGCAAGAAACGATAATTAAGAACTTAGCACATGTTCAGATCACAATTCAAGCCTGTCGTTAACTCGACAAATAGTGAAATGGAAGTTGATCTTATGCCCTCTCTCTGACCTTGTGATTGTCAATTGTGTGATGTAAGAAGCAGCTCACGAAATAGATGGCTGTCACATCACGACTGGAATTTGAAAACCATACTTCAGTTTCAAGTCTAACTTCCTAGTGTGTATGGGCACCTGATGCATTCTTTAAATGAATTAAATGAGAATCAGTAACTTGGAAACGTTAGTGCTTAGTACATTCCCAATTTATAGATGAAGAGGAGGGCTACAAGACGCGGATATCGAAAGAGATGAAAATCTTGGATAAGCTAGTAAGAAGAGATAACATAAACTACTCCAGTCAAAAAAAGAAGTATAAAATAAGGTGCAATGCCCTAAAAACATATTAGAGGAGTGAATGAGGGAAGAAAAGATGAATTGGATCAGAGGAAAAAAGAAATGCAACACGGATCTGGGAACGGGAAGACCAGCTATATGTTAAGTGATTGTAACAGCCAGGAAAAAAAAATTCACTGCTCTCTACACACAAGGGCTTCAACCGACAACTCTTGCACCCATCGTTCGGATTTCTTGCTATTTTCACTATGTCCTGTACCAAAGCTTGGAAGGTCTTACTGGCTTCTTGTCGAGTGACAGAATCGAGTAAAACTTGGTAGTAGTGAAAAGGGGCCTCATGTATATGCCTTTGCCCGCACTTGAATTTAGCAATGTATAATCGGATCTCGAGGGGTGCCACTCTGTATCCTGACCTCACTCCTACAGTATCCATTCGCGAGGATACTACGACGATAGTGTGACGAGCTTGAAGTTTCACTGGTTGCAAACTAGCTGCATCACTTGGTCTTAGCAATCCAGACAGCAGCTCCATGCTCTCCTGGGGATTTAGAAGAGTGGAGAATACGTGAAAGTACACTTCAATGATGATATTCCAGCTAGGGAGCAAACTTAAAGAGATTTTTACTCTTATTGCGCCATTTCTCAGCAACAACACAAATGTGGGTAACATCATTTCAGTAACTAAACAGAAGTTTTGGACACTCACAAAAGTGCGTGCAGTGTACGCTTCCCGCAGCTTGGCCAGCTCTACTTCTCGCTTGTTTAAATCTTCTTCGCACTTGAAGTGCAGACTGACTAGTACAGTTCCATCTTTGAGCTTGCCTTGAAATTTTGCCTGCTCTTCTGTTCTAACCGCATTGCTGAGATCAACGTTAGAAGTATCCTTCAGCACAGTAGGTTTCCCAGACACCATAGAGCTAAGCTGTTCCACTTTACATTCCAAGAGCTGCTTCTCCTTCTGCAGAATTCTAACCTCTTGTACCTTCTTCACAAGCTGATCTGCATAGGCTCTCCCCATAACTTTGAAACCCCTCATTATTTTGAGAACTTCCGAAATAATTGCTGCAGTTTCACTGCCACTCCGCGCTGTCTGCAGTATTTCTCCAAAACGTTTGAGACTCTTCCCAAAGGCCACACATTGCTCATGCCCCATCTTGTCGTCCATTTTCCAACTTTCCAAAGTGAATCTGCCTTTCAAAACTGAACTCTGATGCTAATTTTCTCCTCTACTTCAAGTACCCTTCTCCCACAGGCAAGTTCCATCTTTTCCTCATTGCTTCCAGGTGCCAATCCGCGTCTATAAACAAAGCAAGATCCATATATGATCAATCAATGAGCTTCTCAAGTTCATAATATTGATCCCATAAACTCCTTCTTGCCTAGCAAGGTCTTCCACAAGACTCTGGACCAACAAATGAGATTCGTGGAACGCAACTATCAACAACATTGTGCAATTAAATCGAATTGATGCTAACTGCAACATGTGTGATTCAGGTCGGTGAGAAGTGCTTTTTGATGCTTTGTAGTAAACAGCGTGAGTCTGATTTAAGTAGCGCTAAAGGAAGACAATCACTTGTCAGAAACAACATCCGGCACCCTAAAAAATGCTACGGAGACTCTTGCAGTGCTCTTCAAATCAAAGCACATATGGCGATAAAGAATATCCCATGATATCATATGGCAATTGGTGACTGGTGGAAAGTGACTCTGTCCAAGGACAGATCTTCATTTGTAGACAGCCTGGGTACTGAAAATGATGCATAGCTATTTCAGAAAAAGAAGAAGAAAGGAAGAAACGGAAAGAACTCAAGCTCCACTCACCTGTGAAGTTTTTCAGTAAAGTAAACAGTAAAGTTTTTCGTCACCTAATTTCTGCTTCTCAGCTTACTAGTTTCCACTTCCTCACGTTTTCTTTATTGAAGTAACTAAATCAACTGAATAGTTCTGAAAACTCAAATCAAGACATAATTGATTTCTCAAAAATCAATTTGATTCAGCTCGACAGCGTGGGCAGTAGACGTCAGAATCGTCCGTAGACATGTGGTAAACAATTCAATCAAGGATGTGGTAAACTATCACCATAGAAGTTTGATGTGCGATTCTCGTCTATGTAAATAGATGCTTCAGAGCTGGTCCATCTGACTCACAACAGGGAGCAGCACTCTCTATCGCATGTCGCGCATTTTCTAATGCGCAGACTTGCAGCTACTCGCGTAGAGGAAATCGCGAACATACACGCTGAACACTGAAACCTGGCACAAATTCCACAACACATGATATAAAGACCCAGAATCAAGAAACAATCAATCTTCATTCTTTCGAAGTTTGAAGCTTTACAGAAGGAGTGTGTCCATCATCGTCGTTAGTCTGAAACCCGTAATTACCATATTCCGGCACCGCATCTCCATGACATAAATTGGGAATGAAGTCAGTAATGACCATTTCTGACTCGCTGACTCACTCACTGCACCTCGTCATAAATTTCGTCGTCGAATCCTGCCGAGCCTCGTCTGCTCCCACAGTAGTCCAGTCTTGGAATCGACCCAGCTGCTCTCCCGCTGCATCCTTCTCACATGCATCCTTCTCACATTCAAACATCGCCGGATTCAATACTCTTAGTCACCTCCCTAATTTTAATGGAGGTGATTTTAATGACTAGTTATCCCTCAGTTTAGCCTAATTATAAGTCACGTTCCGTTCCGCCACACCGAGCACATAGCCTCGTCACTCTCTCTCTCTCTCGGCCTTTTCCTCCAATGCTCCTTGTTCACCTCCTTCGCTAGTCTGCTGGGTGCTCGCTTGTTATTTACTCGTCTGTCTTTTGTGTTGGAGCCGGCGCGACTCGACTGGGGACGGGTCTGTCACGTTCACCTGCGACTCGCCACCGTTTATCTTCTCAGGCAGCCACGCCAGATTTAAGGTGACCGCTAAATCTAGTTATATCCATGCATGTCTATGATAATGAGCATAAATTGAGTGATAATTAATCGTTACCTAAAATTATATAAAATGAATGAGAACCAGCCGCTGACTAAAATTAAATAAAGTGAATATGTAATAGAATACTGTGAAACGCTGTACTGTACTGTACGTCTATCGTCTTAAAAAGTTCACCACGAAACATCTTGTGAATATTATCTTCATATTAAATAACATTGTATTTAAAAATAGACCTAAAATGGCCACCAAGTCCCTAATTGTATTCATTCAGCTCCGAACATTCCGTCTCTCCTTACTAGAAATTAATTTGGCCTATAATGTTTGTTACCTCCATGTCATTGCTCTATTAAAGAGCCCTTAGGTCACCTAACACATATATTCATATGGTGGTAATCATCTATACAGACGACTTTTTGGAAAGGTTGCTTACTCACCTGAATTCAAATTGCATTTGAATGCCTTTGACATTCACGCAACATGAACTTCATGTGGACATGAGATTTAACACCAAAACATTATATTTGAAACAAAGGTTTAAAAAAATCTTTTCGTTAAAATTCAATAATAATATTGACGATTGCAAATATAACTCTATTAATGCTTGAACATAACTGTCATTTTGATGTGTTTATAGTAGTGATTATGAATATAGGATATATGCTTTAAACTATAGGTATGACATGGGCTTAAATATTTTTTCGTTTCGTCTATACGTTAGACAATCTTATTATAGTAAATCTTCATTTTTGGTGGAATCTCAAATATTTCAAACTTGTGTTCATCTAGAGTATTGTTTCTTCAAATGTGTTGGCTTGTGGATGTAGACTCCACCACCTTGTGAGTACAAGTCAGACATTTTACTTCCTCTACAGCAATTAGATTACATGCTGCTTGGTTTGAGTACACTTCTTCATTACATTACAAACAAGAGGGTGGATGATTTTAAATGCAACATTAATAAGTATCTTTGTTACAAAACATAGCTCTATATAATTCATTAAAATTTTGATAATTTTTTCTTATCAGTAAAGATAAGTCAAATCTATAATTGATTAGGAATTAACATATTATTAAATTAAACATGAAAGGTACTTGTTATCAATGTTCACATCATGCTTCCAAAGTAATTGATTATATATCCTCTTGCATTTAATAGGAGTAAAATAAAATTTCTCTAATTGTTTAATAAGATTGATATAGAAATACAAATTTATTTTAACGTTGGCTTGAAAATTAGATAAATCTATGAATATCAAGTTGAATATGTTTATCATGATAGTTTTGTTCTTTATATCATAGTATAAGCAGATATGTTAGCATTTTTATCTTTGTTAACTTACATAAAATATTAAATGACTCAATTCACACAAACAATTTTGTAGTGCATAATATTTTTATCGTTAAAAGAAGATATAAATATGGTTTGGAAAAATATCAATAAAAATATTCTAAATATAAGGACAGATTTTGCATTACAGACTCTAAAACTGTGATTATTGTTATAAGTTAAATCTTATTGTTGATATTAACTCTGGTTAAGGAGTTAACTGAGGTTAGTTAACCTTGGTTAACCGCATATGTAGCTATTTATAGCTTAGGTAGTTGACTACCTTGGGTATATATACCCTGAGGGTGATAGGAAGAAAATCACTTCAAACAAACAGTAAACTCTCTCGAGCGTATTCCTTTGTGGACGTAGCCCCTGAGGGTGAACCACGTTATATAGTGTCTCAGTTGTGATTTGATATGTTGTGTTTTATGTTTTCTCGATTTACCGTTTACACTTATCTTTGTATAATCCAATTGATATATTCATTGTGTTTGTTTGTTTGTTTGTTTGTTTGTGAATCATATAAATTTCTTGGTATGATCTTGTGCAACAAAAAGTTATCTAACTATTAGCTAATATCGCAAAAAAATTTTATTTTGAAATGAATTAATTTGAAAATAAATTATGTTCAAAAAAACATTTAATTGCACTGAAAGATCTTTTTTTCAGGTAAAACCAAATTGATATTTAGCTAGTTACTTCCAAATTTTTTTTCCTTGATCAATGATTTATCTTATTTGTAGTTGAAATAATTCTTCTAGTATTATACTTAAAACCAACAAAATTATCAGATTGTTTTTTTTTTGCACCACCAATATCACAAGTACCATCTCATCATCTTCAACAAAACACGTCAAAATTTCATTTTCATTCTTAATAAATTTATAATGACTTGCAATTCAGATTATACTGTTTTGGAGGAAAAATAAATATGAGTAGATTTGTAAGTATCATATTTTATTGCAAAAAAATTAAAATATGTCTGCAAAAAATTTAAGTCGATGATCAATTGTACGAACACATTTTACAAATGATTCTATGATGACTAGAAAATTTTGCAATTTTTTTTTCTACTTGAATCCTATATATATACTTTCATATTTCATTTCATCATCTCTTTTTCAAAACATTATGATCAATTTTTTGAGAACATCATTCTACGGTACTTCTCAAAATAGCATCAGACATTTATTTGCTTGATGTAATAAATTTTGTGTTTGAAAACACGTCTTTCATCTCTTGTAATCATTTTTCTCAGTGAATTTTGATGTGACTTAGTTTTAAATTCAAATTTATAATTATTTCTATTATATGAAGACTGTAATTTATCAAAAAATCTATGTTTTCAACTAAGCAAAATGAAATTAAATCTCACTTGTTTAATTTATGAAAAATGAAAATATTTTTATCTTCAATGTAACGTAATTTTATCATATCTAAAAAAATTTCTCTATATAAACATAGTATATCTATTTACAAATTATCTGTTATGATTTTAGGATTTTAAAATTTAAAATTATTCAACAAAATATATCATACATTTAGTTATTTTTTATAAATAATTGATAATTTTTATCTTATTATCATAAAATATAGTATTTATTGAATATATGAAATAAAATTATTTAAAAAAATCAAATATTCAAAATTTTTTAGCATAACACACAACATCTATGAAATTTGAAATGGATTAAGCACAAAAAATAAACTTCGAACCATCAAATTCAAAAAAGATTAACTTATTTATGAAGATTCTCAAAGGTTTATGTACATAAAAAATTTGCAGCACAATTCATCACATAAATGTTGATGCATTCAAATCATTCTTCAGGAGCTACCTTTCAATTATATTATATGTTGTACTATCACAAGCTATATTACTTGTTTCATCTTATATAAATCAATATAAAATGTACAAAAATCATGAATCATCGCATAAAATATAATTCATCATACTAATTATTATCTATCTGAAAAACACAATACAAGCCAATCATTCATTTACAGGGGAAAATATCCTGAAGACCAACCTATAGCTAGTGCCAAGAGCACTTACTTCCACAATATATATATACAGTCAAAAGTTGTAACAAAGAATAGAAATTATGCACATCAATTTTATGACCGTGTCTAATCTCTTCGTAACTAAGATATGTAACAAACACATGGTCTTCCTCCTCAATATTCTCTCCGTCAAATAACTAAATATGCATATATTTGAACTGACTACTTATTTGAAAATTATTTATTTTCCATTTATAAAATTGTAATTGATAGAATTTTATAAAAAAAAGCTAATTTTCGTGAACCTATAAAAATGAGAAAGATTTCATGTTTTAATCATATATATCAAATTTCTATATGTATATTCAAATACAGAAATATTCAAATGATATTTTCATAGTACACCATATTATTTCTTTTAATTCTGTTCAAAATTTCTAATGCTAAAAATAGAAGATAGAAAGTAAAGTTATATTTATTCATTATCTTAAAGTCATTGAACACATGATTGATTATGTAGCAGTATACTATACAGGTTTTTTTTCCCATGACAGTCTAAGATATATATGTGAACAAATTTTTGGAAGTAGTATAACAATACACCACAAAATCAAGCTTGTGCAAGTGCAACTGGGTGGATGATATATATAGTTGCGGAGCCAAGAAAACTGAAGTCTACCAGAAGTACACATAGATGACCAGCTGATGAAAGATGTTCTGGAAACAAATCGGACACTTCCATGCTCATCCCGTAATTGTTTGTCTGGGTAGAAAAAGGAAACAAATCGGACACTTCCATGCTCATCCCGTAATTGTTTGTCTGGGTAGAAAAAGGAGAACATGTACACATTTCGAAGGAACGAAATCTCTCTGAGCTGGCAGTTACTTGACGTGGCAGTCTTTCCGACCTGGCGCATTGAGCCCTTTTGCAGCAGTGAGTCTGGGGTAGGACAATATGGAGTTCGGGGGATTGCTCGGGCCGCGAATAGGGTACAAATGAGCTCGTGCTGAGCTCTTAGACATGGGGTCAACTACAGGAATCCAGTCTGTCTAAATACGTATCGTACGGACATGCTAACCCCGGCGAAGGATCGTTCCTTGCGGAGGGTACAAGCTGTACATCGATTTGGCAGAGCGGACAGGACAGATGGAGATGCGAAGCATTCAATAAGGAAGAGTGCAAACCTGGGGGATGATAATTACGGATTACGCCCAATTTTTCTCGAGGACGACGGCGGTCGAGATAGATGCTGAAACTATTCAAAAGACGGGGCCCTTAGAGAACCTCGAGTTTACCTGTGTTTCCGAGGAGCCGTCATGTTTGTTTGTTAGTTTTTAACGTGATCGAAGCGGATCACGAGATGGAAATTTCCTGGAGAGGGATGTTTTGCAACATCTGACACGAGATTTGGGAGGCAGAGATGGCCGTCGCTTATCACCCGATTTTGGCGCGCTGGTTTCCTGGTGGAGCTAGTTGCCTTAGACGAGGGTTTGCGTGACTGGGTACAAGGGGAAGAGCTATGTCGCATTGGTGAGGCTCTAGGCAGGAATTGAAACTTTTATAGATGTGTTGAGAAGGTATTTACGGTGTCGGGGTTATGCAGAAGATGGAGCCGGGAAATGATAAGAATGCGGCAGTTAACGATGTAGTGCGGTAAATTCTTCGAAAAAGTCTTTGAAACTTTTGAATGGGGAAATCAACGGTACTCTGTGAAGGCTTCACTTACTTTTTTTGAGATTTTACCGCCCTACATGAGACAGTTTGAGCAGGAAAATCAATTCAGGAAAGGCAGGAAGCCCACGGAGATGGTTAGAGTATGGCTCGGAGGCTCTTCCACTGTAGTCATACTGAGCTTGATTGAGAAGACAAATTAGTCTTAAGTGCAGTTGGACGAAGTTGTTCAATACGGATTTCCACGAATTGTCATGGTGGAGATTTTGTTGTGTGATGGAGATTAGAAGGGTTGTGTGTTACTAGAGTTGCTAGTTTGCAGATGCGATCCAAGGAATTGAACTCTATGCACCTTCTCCATTTTTCTGCTGTTCACTCCATACCAAGGTATCAATACATTCCCTCCTGAAATGTATACCGGTCTTCAACGCAATCAAATTCTGACCCCTTTCAAGATGATCGGACCTGAACAGAACATTTGAACCAATTGATAACAGTTGGGTCTGAGAAGCCCGTCAATGTTTCTTTTTCTACTTGAAATTCCAGGGCTGTATGTCTTCCTTCCTTTCTGGGTGGTTATCGCCAATAGAAGGTTTCGAGCATCACCTCCTCGTTATTCAAATCGGAGATACCGATCATTCCTAGCTCTTCTTTAGCTTCACCCCTACATGAAGCTTGCGTATCAAATGCAGAACCCTCATTGTGCTCAGCATGTTCTCCAGCATTCCTCCCGGACCCAAACCCATAAGATTTACGAGACTGCCTAGTATGAATCTCTTGTGACTAATTCCACAGTCACAATGTCAATGATTTTGTGTGTGTTCAAGCATGACACCATGCCTGGACGGGCGTATGGAGGGACCATCAGTAGTGAAATTCACAAGATAATGACGAAGAATCTGCATGATGCCTAAAGTTTTATCGGATAGCTTTATTGCACTAGATAACCTTGTCTACTTAAACTTTCAGCTTTACTTCCCTGAGGCACAACGTTTGAGATCTGGAGTCCATGGAGGACCCAGAACTCGAGGCCAATACATCGCCAGAAGACCCCAATACTTTGGGGCCAACAGATGTTGAGTACGAACAACATGCTGCTGCGCGGGACGAAACGTATGCTCCTTCAGATTTTACACCAGCACCCTCAGCACCAGCACTACCTCCAGCTAGCCCGAAGGCCAAAGCGGAAGGCGAGAACGGTGAGGATGGTGGAGTTCCAGGTGATGATTTGGAAAGTGCTCCAATGGAAGAAGTGTTTCAAAAACTTAGGTGTACACCGAAAGGACTTACCACCCAGGAAGCCAACATCAGACTTGAGCTTGTTGGGCCCAACAAGCTGGAAGAACACAAAGAGAGTTTGATATTGAAGTTTCTAGGTTTTATGTGGAACCCTTTGTCCTGGGTTATGGAGTTAGCAGCCTTGATGGCTTTGGTTTTGGATAACGGTGGTGGTTTGCCTCCAGATTGGCAAGACTTTGTGGGCATTGTTTGTCTACTGGTTATAAATTCAACTGTAAGCTACATCGAAGAACAGAATGCGGGTCAAGCAGCAGCAGCTTTGATGCAGGCTCTTGCTCCGAAAGCTAAAATCCTAAGAGATGGAGCTTACAAAGAAGATGATGCAACCATCCTTGTCCCTGGGGACATCATCACTGTGAAACTAGGGGATATTATCCCTGCGGACTGTAGGTTGCTTGAGGGTGATCCACTTTCAGTTGATCAATCGGCTTTAACAGGAGAATCTGTGGCAGTCACGAAAAAAGCCGGAGACGAGGTGTTTTCAGGGTCAGTTTGCAAGCAAGGAGAGCTAGAGGCAGTTGTTATTGCTACCGGAGTTCACACTTTTTTCGGCAAAGCAGCTCACTTGGTGGATACCACTCAAAACGTTGGTCACTTTCAGAAGGTCCTTACACAGATTGGTAATTTTTGTATAATAACTATCGCAGTTGGATTAGTTATTGAGATGATTGTAATATATGCCGTTCAAAAGAGGAAGTATCGTCAAGGGATTGAAAATATGCTCGTCCTTCTTATTGGAGGTATCCCTATAGCCATGCCGACTGTTTTGTCAGTTACGATGGCTGTTGGTTCACACGGGCTCGCAAAGCAAGGTGCTATTGTTAAGCGAATGACAGCCATTGAGGAAATGGCGGGCATGGACATACTGTGCTCAGATAAAACAGGAACTCTCACTTTGAATCGTCTCACTGTGGACAAAAGTATCATCGAAGTTTTGTCAAAGACAGCAGACAAGGAGCTCATCCTTTTGACAGCCGCCTATGCATCTCGTATAGAGAACCAGGTTAGTTGCATGGTATTGGGTTTACGTCGGTTCACTTGCTTTCTTGGCCTGTCAAATATCCTCAATGATGGGCTGTATTATAGGTCCGAGTCTTATCTTAATTGTCTTGATGACTCTGAAGTAATTCCCGAGCATTATTCAATCAAGTCTGATCGTTCAGGTCACCCTCTCTAGCCTCACATTGGAAATGTACATGGTAATCAGGATGCCATTGACCTTGCGATCACAAACATGTTGGGTGATCCGAAAGAGGCTCGTGATGGAATCGAAGAAGTTCACTTTTTACCTTTCAATCCTACTGATAAGCGAACGGCCATGACTTACACTACCGCAGATGGAAAAATGCACAGAGCAACCAAGGGTGCCCCCGAACAAATTCTTGAACTCGCTGCAAATAAGAACGAAATAGAGAAGAAGGTCCATGAAATTATAGAAAGATTTGCAGACAGGGGCTTGCGAAGTCTTGGCGTTGCATCCCAGGTACAGATTATAACACGACGTCAGTTGTTATGAAAATGATTTTGGCCAGTAGTGGTTCTTCCCCCGAGAAGTGCGGCAATGACCAGATGCATGGTAGTCCCAGATAAGATGCATGGTGCATTTAGGGTGGCAACTTTCTTTGTAAGGCTAGTTCCTTGAATGGAATGTTAACCGGAATTCTATGTTATTTGCAAGATAAGGATCTTCACGTAATATTCGTCGTTCACAGATTTTGTAACTCGGTCGCGTGTCCAACTGAACAGGACGTTCCAGACGGTGTGAAAGAAAGTGAAGGTGGGCCATGGGAATTCTTAGGCTTAGTGCCTTTGTTTGACCCTCCCAGACATGACACCGCCGACACAGTAAAGCGTGCTTTGGAACTTGGGGTGCATGTCAAAATGATTACCGGAGACCAACTTGCTATAGCTAAAGAAACTGGGAGAAGGCTTGGTATGGGCACCAATATGTATCCTTCTTCTGTATTGTTTGGTAAAGGGGGTAATGAAGCTCCAGAGTCTACGGAGGATGGTGAACTTGTTGAGCACGCTGATGGATTTGCAGGTAATTTACTCTAACTTGTCATTAGAAGATAGCTTCTATGCCCTTTATGTCTATACTGTTACCATAACTTTACGTTCTAAACAGCCAGCCGTTCATCTGAATCTGAAAGATATACGTCTTCAAAGACGACTTGTCTCTTCTATGGAAGGGACTAGTAAATCAGCTACTTCAAGCATATTCCTGTCTTTTCTTAAAGACCAGGTGCATGTTTTTCTCAAAACAATCCTCAAATCAAGGCTTCGACAGTTGTGGGGAAAACGAACAGTACGGCACAATTTCTGGAGCCTTCCAGTTTGTATGTTTTCACCACAAGAGTCGAAGCATTGATGAATGATTCTTTTGTGTCGAAAAGACCTGATCCACGATCAGATATGTGATTGTTAAAGTCAATGAAGAATTTTGATGATGAGTACTGAGAGTTCATATCATACGCGTCAACACTGCCCGTGAACTTTCCTTTCTTGAAGTATGTCTTCTTTCTTTCAGTCTCTTGTGACCAGTGTATGTGGTATGCTTTCTTAGCCTTGTTCTCATGTGTTTTCTCAGGGTTTTTTCCCTACTATTACGACCATCTCTAAAAGCATATCCGCGACTTGGCACCAACATTTGAAGCATTTTTACCTTCGTTTGCAATGAGTGATTTGTTACCAGATATGTCATGTCTGAATCTAACGCATTCAACCTCTAGCGTTACTGAACCTTGCTGCTATCGTTACCCCAGAGAAGTCTCTGAAACTTATGTTGTGAAGTGTTCTTGTGCTTTTAAGCCCGTTGTTATAGACGCTGATAAGGTAGAGCGCGTCTAGATTCGTGCAAGAGATTGTTACAAAGTGGTCGTTGTAAGTGGGTCGGAATTCTATGACCACTAAAAGACCATTTTTCTTTAGCAAATCGTACTCGACTTTGCTGCAGCATGTACTCGCTTGTTTCGTATTATCTCCTTCCCTTCTCTAGCTGGTTGTCATGCTGTTGATGATATAGGATTGTACATGCTTCATGTACACAAGGCTTTGTAGGCAGGTTTGGTTACTTACAGAAACCAAGAGTTGTTGTTTTTAGTCATTTCAACCAACTACCTCAGATTTACAGCCTCAGCAGTTTGCTTCAACGACTCTACAGACATGGTTCTTACCATGCGATTTCGGTTTTCTTCTGGTCTTTTGACTAGAGATCTCTGTCTAGACTCAACCTACCAATGACTCTCTTTCTTACTTATTTTTGAATACTTTAATCCTTAGCACCGCTCAGCCATAGTCTGCAGGCGATGAAATGCAAATATTAATGAGTACATTTGATATTGTAAGCTTACTATTCTTCCCTATATAGTTTTGTCAATCGTATTGTATAGGTTAGTCATCGCTGAGAGTTCTTTTCTCCCACGCTTGTCTTCGCTTTCGTTTGTGTTCGGCAAGTGTACCTGTCAGATTTTATAGTTCGGCTACTGTCGAGTTTTTCTTGATACTACTGAAATGCTTGCTATGTAGTGGATCTGTTCCAAACAACTTGTTACAATTTTGCGCCGGTTGAACAACCGCAGGAGTGTTTCCTGAACACAAGTTCAACATCGTTAAGAAGTTACAGGACAGAAAGCACATCTGCGGGATGACGGGAGACGGTGTTAATGATGCTCCAGCTCTGAAGAAAGCTGACATCGGCATAGCGGTCGCTGATGCAACAGATGCGGCTCGCAATGCTGCAGACATCGTTTTAACTCAGCCAGGTCTCAAAATCTGCTGACATAATTCATTGTTATGAAGCATGATACAGTAATAATGGGAACATACAGTTGTTTTCAGCTCTAAGAGCGCTGAAGAGAATAACGTTGAATTGTGTGTGCGCTGTCAGTCGATGAGTATCGTAAATTTGTCAAAATTCTTCCTGTACTGAAATACAACTAAGTCGTTTGATGTTTAAAAGGTCTCTTATGGCTATGATAGTCAAAATCTGATGAGAACATATTTATGACTGGAGCTCTGTCTATGTAAAGAATAATGTAGAAATTGATTAGCTTTTTGCGTCATAACAGAACTTTCTCTCCTACTACTAGTAACTTCGATTTTTCCGGGTCTAGGACCTCGCGATTCCTAGCTGTTACGGCACTGAATTACCTCAGACAACACAGTAAATTTTGAAGCTTCTTGGAATTTATTTTTCCCGGAGAGCCTGTTGCGAGCTGAAGAGACTCATGCATTTTATTAGAGTCTGCGTGTAGTCTACGTGTAGATGTACTACTCATACTAAGGATGTAAGTCAGTTGGATATTTTTGCAGGTTTGAGTGTGATCATATCTGCTATACTTACATCCAGATGCATTTTTCAGCGGATGAAAAATTACACCATATATGCTGTATCTATCACGATCCGTATCGTCTTGGGCTTCATGTTGATGGCTCTGATCTGGAAATTCGACTTTTCGCCTTTTATGATTCTTATTATTGCTATCCTGAACGATGGTACTATCATGACCATAGCCAAGGTATACTGGAGATGGACATGCGGTACGCACGTTCATGTTTTATCAACTAATACAAGATGTCATGAAGGCAAATACTACATTTCCTAGAGGGCCAAGAACGGAGGCGCGTTGTCGTTCCACCTCAGGCCAAATGAAGCTCAGCCGCATAGAGTTCGAAATGGTTAAGTCCAAAGTCCTCTAAGCAATATGTTTTCTCCTGTAATTGGTCATCAGTAGATGATCATAGCTGTGTATAGTCGAAGACACTATGTTAACACAATTGGCCTCCAGGATATTGTGACACCTTCTTTGACACCTGACTCCTGGAAGCTGAAAGAGCTTTTTATACAAGGAAGCTGTCTTGGTGGATATATGGCCATGATGACGGTTGTATTCTACTTTCTCATGCACGAGACTGTGTTTTTTGAGACCCATTTCAAGGTAATGATTCTGTTCAGTCTACTTTTCTAACTTAACCTTTTCAATGTCACAGAACGCAGGCCTAAGTTCCACAGGATGCTCTTCACTCGTTCTCTATTTTTAAATTGTAATCACCTGACTAGTTGTAATTTTGGCCGCACTGCACAATTTTACTCACTTCAGAAAGTATAGAAGAACAGCATATAGACTGGTGTGATCACCTCATGCACACGAGGGGCAATTAATAAATAGCCTTTAGGAAGTTTTGATCGTTTTAATGAACTTTAATGAATCAGAGATCGGTTATCAACAAATTGTTTTTTGGTCCACCTTGACTTTTGTATCATCGACACGTGCTGAGCCTGAGGAAGGAGATAATTAATGTGGACAAGGATCCTACTGCAGACCCTTGCAGCTTTTCATAATCCTTCACTAACATCGTTCTACTAGTCATAATACAATGTGAAGTACGGACACGTTCAACTGATAACCAGCTGACATGAGCAGCTATGGTTCACATCTTCCTACTCTTTGATGTGTTTTGTTCATTTCAAATCTTTGCGCTAACAATATATCAGTCGTCATTTCATCTGATTGATCGAAGTCGAGATGTAGGTTGTAAGAACTCGTTGTTTGTACTTCAACTTAGAAACTTCACATATCATACAAAGAGGGTACCTTTATTCATGCTGCTTTACCCAAGATCAGTTCAATTCTTCGTGTATTTTGCTTGTTCTTTAGACCGTAGTATTCAGTTCTGTTTAACCAGTGCCAACCTGTCAGGCTCCGAAGGAAAATTTATAACTTAGATGGCCGTCTCAGCCAGCTTGATTTGACATTTTGGAATGATATTAATGCGGATTCTCCAATAAACCGTGACCACTTGGGAGTATAGGAGGTGAAAGCTATTTCTTTGGAATAGGTTTTGCGGTGCACCTTGTCTGAAGCTTTGATCAATTTGAACGTGGTTTTTTCAATATGAAGGTACGGAGCGTTAAGAATAGCAGATATGAGGAAACCGCTGTGATTTATCTGCAAGTCAGTGTTATCAGTCAGGCACTGATATTTGTGTGCCGATCTAAATCATGGTCCTTTCTGGAAAGACCCGGGTTTTTCCTGGTCGTGGCTTTTGCTATAGCCCAGCTTATTGCAACTATTATTGCAGTTTATGCAAACTGGCCATTCGCCAGAATCAGGGGGTGTGGATGGGGCTGGGCAGGAATCACATGGCTCTACAAGTAAGAGCGTCCTGTTGCCTACTACACCCTGCATTCTATATTCTTTCTTTTTTGTCTCAAATTGAACTTCACTTGTTCCTTGGATCCTTCTATGTGACTAGCAACTGCAGACTAGAGCAGAATGTAGCGAGCAAGTTTCAAGTTAGTCTGACTCAGTAGATACCTGAAGAAGAATGTGAGCAGATCAAAATCTCCATCTCTCACAAATAGATCTGCTGTTGGTATTGCAGTATGGTTGTAATTTTAGTTACCCACCTTAGGAATATGATAAGAAGTACCCACACTTGTTATTATGTTGGGACTGCACCAGTATTGTTTGGTATCTTCCATTGGATGCGATCAAGATCATTTGTCGCTACCTATTGACCGGAGATGCTTGGGGTCTTCTGACGGAGCAAAAAGTAGCTTTCAGCCGTCAGTCGAACTATGGACAGCAAGCTCGACAGGCACAGTGGGTTGCTTTCTCACGAGCTGATGGACTCGGTGGTGATCCTTCGACCGCTCATAGACAAAGCCTTGCCAAACCCAGAAGCTCTGTTCGTAAATCTCATGTACCCTTCAAACCTACACCTACTGGTATTTACAATATTGCTCACAATGTGGGTCACAATGTGGGCAATATTGCGCGCGAGATCACCCGCGAGTTAACCCACCCGCAACAGCGAGGATCAAGGGCTGTCACAGGAAAAGGAAGGGAGGCTGCGGATAAAGCAAGGAGGCGCGCAGAACTTGCAAGGTATCCTTCTTTGAATCTAACTATTTACCGTAAGCTTGTAACTAAGCTAATGACAATATTAAATCACATTTTCTCTTACAGGAGTGAGATTCTTTTTCATTTAAATGGAATTTCTAGATAGTTTGTGTTCATGATGGTTTCAAAGACAGTTAGCGAGGATTGGAAGAGACATCCTTGCATTTGCATTATTAGGCTGATATTCGCTTAAGGGTATATGCAATCTAGCTTGCAAACATGCACCCTTTGTTTTGTAGTTGGAACCTGATTCTACCAATCGAACTGCTGCAGTCTGCATTAGTACACTGGCTACAGTCAGAAAAAGCCTACACTTTCCTCTTGATCAGCACAAACACACTAGTAAGTTGCAACCATGTTCTTCCATTGATCTAGATCAAGTAAACGTGGGTTGTTGTTTGAGGTGATTGGCGTCTTTCTTGTTACAGATTGCGGGAAACACACACGTTGAAGGGCCACCTTGAATCAGTGTCAAGGTTGAAAGGGCTTGATGGAAGCGCAGCAGACAACTTCTACACCGTGAGTTTTGAACGATCTTTCCTTAGGTTATATTTATATACTTTGTGAAGGGATAGACTCGTATCGTGCCGTATATGTTGTCTGCGTCATGTTGAAATTGGTCAAGGGATGATATTTTCAAGTAGGATCAAAGCCATTTCATTTCAGCACACTTTTCGGTTTTTTTCAGTTCAATCCCTTGTTTAGAGGGCTTCCTCAACCGAGCCAAGATGCTTCTCAAGCTAATAATGCTGGTGCTGAGAGTTCCGATGCGGGAGGAAGGTCAGAGAATAGGAGATACTCGATCTCCTAGCACAGGAGTTAAGTTTCATTCCTCTCTGCTTCTAACCCTGTACTTCTCTCTACGATTTTGGTCCCAACCTAGTCTATTTGTCTTGAATGCTACAGATTTGTCTATATCCGCTGTATCTTGACAAATGATGTGTGGCATCGTATCCTCCAAAGAACACATAGAAGTCCATCAGCCAAGTGTCTCTTAGCTCCTTTTCTTGGGATTGCAGATTTTGCCTTATTTCTAGGTGAAGAGAGATGCTTGCATAGGAACAATAGTAGCTGGAATGTATTACTCCAGCCTTCGGTAACAATGAGGGTAAGTTGCTCTAAACATCAGTCTTTGACCTTGAAAAGTCTATATGCTCTTTGAGTAAGAAATTTGTTCCCGTTACGTCCTGATTTTGTAAATTTGGTCATTTTCTACTGATTTAGAAGTGTTTGGATGAAGGTTTGGACGTTGGTCAATTCTTGTACAGCAAGGACATTGTACACATATATTGAGGTTCTCTTGCCAGAGCAGCTGTGCTTCCTGAGGACAAATCGAGGAATCAAGTTGCATTGATCTTTGTCAGCATTTTACCTTTTAATCGGCTAATACGAGTTGAACTGGTCTTCTTTATTCAAGTACGACGGGAAAAACAGAGCAAATGAGAGTAGTGTTGTTGTAAAGCTCCGCACTAGTAGACGCCCTTGTGCGAATTAAACCAATGGCGACATTCTGGGTAACAAATAAAGTATCTCCTGATTCCAGGATCCAGTTTGACATGTTTATTTAGATACGCTAACCAGTTTAGCTTATGGTATTCCAACTTGTTAACTTGGGTGACATGTGTTTAGTGCCGTGCTACTGGAGATCAACAGCAGCATCACTTCACTTTCTCCCTTTGCCAAGTGTTTTGTCACCCATACATTTTTTACCAAAGTCTTCTGTTCTTGGGACTGGTTTCCCGCTTCTCTTTCATCATGTTCGTTATACTGTACTCTCGGGTTATGCCATTTAGGCTTGCTCATACGTTTGAACACAGGCTTGACTTGCAGAGGAGCCATAATAACCTGGCTTACTCTACCCAACCTGGTTGGGATAGTTTCATTGATGAGATCTGTGGATACCTTGGAGATTTTGGTGCTTCGGTTAGTCAAGGTTTCGGGTTCAGCGAGAGAGGAAGAAGTTCTATGTCGATGCATTGTTGGTAATCTGCCCTTCGATCTGCTACACCTCTATGCAACCAGAGGTAAGAAGCTCCGGGCTGCTGGCGCGTTTACGCTGTTAACTTTTTAGGGCGACCGGGTCTTTGGGGTTTGGACAGGCTCTCTCAGGCAGAGATTAAGATTAAACATTGCAGAACGAGGAGTCACAACCCACAAAAGCTAAAGTCTGTGTTAGGCAAGCATATTAGCTAAAATTTGCAGAAATGGTTTTAAAGGGCCACATGTGTATGACAAGGCTGCAAGTTGTTAAGTGCACGCTGAGCTGTACCCACCAATAAAGGCGTGAGTATAATGGAATTTCGTTCATTTGTGCAATGATTTTCTTGACTGACAACAGTATGGACATGATGCCGGAAAGGTAGATTCTGGCCTGCACAAGCTGACCGCGAAATTTGCCGCTTTTATTTACCGCACCCTCTACCAAACCTCTACCCAAAATCGATGGAGCTCACGGACAAGGGTGGCGCTAGATCTTCCCTCTGGATGGGCGAGAGGGCGGGGTCCAGATAGTTCGAGTGTCTGAACAACAACATCTTCAGAAAAGGAACAGTGGATCATCAAATGAGAGGATCATGTCTAGTTCCAGTGCACTGATTGTTTATGGACAAGTATCTCCAAAAGCCTTCATTTTCGCTTCTACCTTCAAGACTTCCTTCTACCCACTTCCCCTCCTACCTTTTCCACTTTCCATACTTTGTCTTCCCTTCCTTTTTGTTAGTTTACTGTGTCCGACCTGCGCTTTGTACTCTCTAGCATTCCGATTTTGTCAAACGAACGGTCGACAGAGCTCTAGCTACTTTTCAATCACTCATGGCTTGAACGTGAAGACCGTTATTGCACAAATGCATCGACGCTTTCTTAATTCCTCTTTCACTCCTCCTCCTCCTTCTGCCCCAAAGCCAGCCGAACCCGACTAGGGAGGGAGTGGATGAGTGTATGCTCGAGAATTCATCAACACCTTTGTCTTCACCTCCACTTTCTATTTCAACCACCGAGGTGCACCTTTCGGGATCCCGGTCAAGAGCGCGAAGCTGTCAAGTTCGTCCGTTTGTCTTCTTTTCGCGACATATTCTTTTCATCAAAGACGACAGAAAGCATGCGGCCGAGAACAAAAATCTCTGAAGCATCACTCGGCGTCTTCACCCGATGACTTCGACTCTCCATTGCTTTTCGGGTTTGGATAAGCAGAAGCGTGTTGTTCTGTGCTGTTCCCTCGTCTGCCCTGCAATGCCATGCCGAATCTGACCTAACCTTCCTTGCTTTCTTCATCGATCCCCACCACCATCGTCATGGAATGTTAGAAAAGGAGAGTCTAGCATGCGAACTCGAGCAGGATCCAGAGAAAAAGTTGATTTGCCCTTTCATGATGGAGGCGAAAAGTAGATAATGATTGAGCTAGGTAGCCACTCTACCTTGTTGCTCCAGACAATGAGCTCCGAGGTCCAAACTTGAAATGAAATTTCCAAATTCTGGGAAGTAGTGCAAGGACGATCACCAACTTCCACTATGCTGCAATCACATGGGTATGATTCAACACTATCTCGACCTATATATCTAAATAAGTATTCAAGCAAATGGCTGTCACCAGCTTACCGAGCCTTACCCTCGCTGGCTACTGTCCTCATCATGCTTTCTTCCCTGATCTTGGATGGAAATTGCATATCTGCGTATTTGCCTTCACAAGAAAATTCTTCCCTCCACTTACCGGCGAGCATCATCATCGTCTCATGTCTCACTGATTCATGTGACTTGGCTGCTTTGTAGGCGGCGGACCTTGTTACACGCAATTTGGTTTAAGCGGTGAGCTGCAAAACCCAGCACATGCATCTCCTAGCGCTGTCATTGTGTACCATCCACGCACACAAGTGAGTTAACTTCAGCATCCTAGTGCTAAGACAAGTCCAGGCTTTTCAAACTTCAACCTAGTGGATTGTAAGAATTCTTATACCGATTAGGCGTTCTGGTTGACATTTGCTTGCTCTGCTATGGACTACTCAAATCATCTGTTGGAGCATTGCCACACTTGTTTATATTTTCTTTTAACATTAACGGTCTGAATATCAATCTGATATATGATGTTCCAGTCGAACAGTCTGTAATTTTAGAATTTAACGTAAAAAACAGTAACCTTTAGCTCCGTTAGATTGGTTGGATAATCATATGATAGATTGAGTTTTGAAGATAAAATCAGCGACATAATCAAATACTTCTTATATGTATACATTTTAAATTTATAGAAATTTGTGTTTATCCACTGAACCTCTACATAAATGATTGGTTTATCTTATCTCATCATCCACCTTCGGGTTTAATCTGTACGGTGAAGCTCTCACTATTCTGATTTAGTTCGCAAAATTGGAGGGTCTCAACGCCTGCCTCTCTCTCTCACCATTTTCCATCTTCCACACTTCCAAGAACTTTTTTTCAACCAGAGTGCCAGTCCACGCATGGTTGTCTTGAAGGAAGAATCCATCGTACAATGGAAATATATTGGCTCCATCACGCCAACCCTTCCCGTCCTGCCCGGTCCCATAAAACAGTTAGATACATTAGTCTCTATTTAAGCTATCCGTTTCAAATGACAATCATCTGCCTAATATGTTTTCAAACAATCACTTTTCTCAATTCTCTAGATCACAATTTAATCACAAACTTTGTGCTAACGAAATTTTTTCCCACATCTATATATATCTCCTCAAGTAGATATATCTTTTACGCTGCTTCTTAACATTTCTTTCTAGACCTTAACATTAATGATTTACAACACCAGTTATAGCGAGCATAAAAGACTATAGGAAAGAATGTCACAATAGTAGATTCCCGATCTTCCAAACTCTAATTCTCTATTTTTTTTTATGTTCATATGTGTGGATATTAGTTTACGTTCTTCTGATTTGAAAATTCAAAAATTTATACTGAAGGTAAGATTCCATAAGTAGAAAAAACCATTGAGATTGCACCATAAATTTCATCACCATATCGAACAAAATGGTTGTTTCATAGATATTATAATTTGTTTTATAATATATAACTTGTTTGTAGTAAATTTATTTAGATACATAATATCAATATACTTCCATTGCTCCACAAAGAGTAATAGCTACTCTCATATCTAGAAGAATAATCAGGTTAGATGTGAGATTTCTTTGTTCCATTATTTTCAATTTAAATTTTTTAATGATTAATAATTCATATAACATATTCTCTACTGTAACACTATTGAGATCTAGCCACTGATTTCAAGCCAGTACAACTTGATGAATTATTGCATACTTTTTTGTTATCCATTTGGACTTAGCGAAACTTCATTGTGAAAGTCATGCGTCATGGCATGAGTCAAAATCATTCTTATTCAAATTGAACGTGTAGCATGGTTAATTTGTAGAGCAGTTGGGTAGATCATTTCGTTTTAAAGAATATAAATAAGTGTTTTAGTAAGAACATGTCGAATTTGGAAAGATTGATCTATTGAGCGCTTGCTTCTATAAAACTTCAGGTCTGAAAAACGATGTCACTTCTCACGAATTATACTTTCATACCAGTCATATACATATATTACTAACACTCTGGTACATGCATTCTTTTGTCTCTATTTTACTTTGGCTGAAAGTCCTTGAGCATCTGAAAGTCCTTGAGTCTTCCATATCTACATACTGGCTTCCTACATTTGTTAGGATTTTGTTTTCTCACGGTACCTCTACCATGAATCAACGAATACGGCATCACTCATCGTTCTTTACATCTTCTTTTTGCAAAACCAGGCAAGAAAGTAGTATTTCTACTGGTGATTACTGTGAATGTACATTCACAATAGAGATACCGCCTCTTTATGCCTAGGTCAATTGATTTTCCTCTTTCAAAGATAACTATTTTGTCTTCTTCTTTTGGAATATTTTAATCAGCTAATAATTGTCACTACGTTGATCTAACATGGTATTATCAAAATTTAATAATGAAAACAATAATTTAAACGAAACCTACAGTAGGCAATGAAGAACCTCCCCCAAAATTTGGGCCGCTCCGAATCGGTCCGTCCATCCGTAACCAAGAAAGGTGGACACCTGACTGTCCGTCCGCACGTTAATAAGACCTACTGAGAATCGTGACCGGTCACCGGGAGTAAGGCTTCCATACGATGATCACGAGAAAATCTCGACCGGTCATTTTTGTTATGGGCTTCCACAAGATCATGATGATCATGTTGAGTGTCGAGTTTCACCTGAAGTTTAGGCTTTAACACAAACAAGGATGTCCGCGCCGCCTCTTCCATGGAGCCGTATTCAACTGACGTCCTCGGTATGCATGCCTCTCTTACACACTAAACAGTTTTGCAGGGCATGATTCATTGTTTTTGTGTATACTCATACGTCCGTTAAAATCTCACACATACTTGATTGTTAAACCTACACAGTATATACATGTCGACGGTTCGATATGCTTGATCTTCTAGACACGTCCCATATAGAATGTTTTCAAGATTCTCATTATAATATTGAGCTAGTTCACTATTAAGGCTAATGAAAAGCTATACTCCTCGACTAGACTTGATAAGCTGTTATCCATGCAGGCTTAAGTTATGTTTTATGGTGATGGTGCTGGGTGGATACATTATGATATAATTCTACATCATTTACTTTTGATTTTGAGCAGCATATTTGAACTCAAAATCTTTGAATAGGAAACCCGAGCAGTAAGATCTTAAGATGGGTGAAGAATCGACCATTGGATTTAAATATAATCCACGCTGTATATACATCCACTGATGAACATAGGGAATCTAGAAAAACCGATCATATATGTTACATGGACTGTGCAATCCATAAAATTATCCTCCTAACAGCAACATCAAGTGATAGCTTCAATACTGTGAAAACTTGTGGCATTAAACATATTCGATATAAGGGAAGGATAATATTACTGTTTTCCATTTTTTTGTTAGATCCTTCAAAAACTGAGCTCTAATAACTGCGCCTCTTGCAACTAATCAAGTCTTTTAAAGTCAAATGGAATATAATATTTGCTTATGTATAGCCCGACAATTGATGTCTTTCGTAAAAAAACCATTAACATAACTACTCATTGTACAAGGTGATACGTCTGAGTGATAACTCTCGGGAAGGGAAATATATCATGACAATAGATGTAAATTTTTTTGCAACCAAAATCTACAAGCGTGTTTGTTAGAATAAACACATCAATAACTCTCTAAATGTGAAAGATGGAACCTATCTCTCAACACGTGAAGACAACATGATATTTTCAATAAGATCACAGTCATTCAATATATTGTGCATGAAATAAAATCATAAACGTGATTAAGTTATCACACTTTTTTATTAGTTTACAGAAACACCTATACACTTTGGCTAGCTTTTGTACCCAGAATCAGATGGAGGTAAATATAGAGAAGTCCAAAGTCATGATAGTGGGCACTAGATCCAAGTTTTCCTTCTATTACCAGGATCTACAATTAGAAGAGGTGAAGAGTTATAAATATCTAGACATTGATTTTTCTAATGATTATAGTTGGGCACTTTGTGTGCAAAAGAGAGTAGAAGGTGGTTACAAAGCTCTATATTCATTGCTAAATCGGTGTAGAAGGGCTCATCTTGTGTCTTGGAGTCTTAGGAAATTTTTATTTAGAAGCTTAGTGTTGCCGGTAGTATTGTATGGAACCCAAGTGTGGGGTCCTGGTTGTAAGAAGACAGGATGGGAGCGTGTGGAGAGGGTGCAGAAGATATTTCTACAAGAAGAATTGGGTGTGAGAAACCAAACCTCATATGCTATTCTTCTTGCGGAAACAGGTTGTTTACCTCTAGAGGCTGAAGCTCTATACTTGACCATCACTTACATCACAAGGGTGAGATCTCTTGATGCTTCTCGCCTTCCTCCTCAGGCTTTGAGTGCCACACGTGCCAAAGGATGGTTAGCGGATGTGATAACTTGGTCTTTGAGGTGGAATGTGACAGAACGCGATTGGGACCTACAACCTATAGCACTACGTGAACGTCTAAAGGAGGAGTTTCTGAACATTATTTGGAGCAAGCGCGGCACCAAGATGCAGTTTTATCAACTTCATGTGAATCCTATGCTTGTTTATTGTGAACAGGATTACCTACTTGCAGGAATCTCTACGTCCTTACGTCATATTATTGCTAGGCATAGAACTGGATCTCATAGGCTAGGAATTGAGGAAGGACGTTGGCTTAATATTGATATGAGTCAACGTATTTGTAGGCTATGTGATGGAAGAGAAGTTGAGGATGAAGAGCATGTATTTCTTACTTGTACTAGATATGCAGAGATTAGAGTGACTTATAATATAGATGTAGAGAATTTTTATTCTTTGTTACAGTTAGTTCCTTTTGATTTAGGTTGTTATATTAGGGACATTATTAGTTATCGTTCTAGTGCTCTTGGCACTAGCTAGGGTTTGGCCTTTGGGGTCTTTTCCCTTGTTTGTGGCTGTCGCTTGTATTGTGTTTTTCAGCCTTTTGACCCTTTGGGTCCCCCGGGCTTGATCTATTACCATTTACCATTTACCATTTATTAAAATTTGAATATCTTCTCAGATTACACCAACCCAAAACGGAAACGTTTTTTATACAAAAGAAATTGGGCAACATGTAAACTCACATAGCACAAATGCTAACCACTATGCACGAGCAACGCATGTTCTAGATGGACTTGGCATGGAATAAAATGAATGATGTGAAAGCCATCCAACAGAAAACAAAGCCAAGACCAACCATGCCAAGGAAAATCTGTACTAAGGCATCGTAGGATGAGTAGGTACAAAGTACTAGACTCTCCTCGGGTTCATGTTCATTACCCCACTACAATTCAAACATCTTTTACAAGTGAGAACAATCTATTGGATACCTTCGGTCTTAAAATGCATTTTCAATCATGGATTTTGAGTTATTTATTAGTCCTAGTCTGAATGTAACATAAACTAATGGATTTTTATTGGGGACGACTAGGGCCACATACGTTTTTACTAGGGCCACACCCGCTACATACAAACAACTGATTGTGTGTCAAAGCACGCCTCCCCTCAAACCCAGCTGCTAAGCCGAGCTCGTCCGTGAGGCAGAGGAGAGAGTAGTCAAGAGGCTTCAAGGGGCTTGGGGCCGTTGCGGCCGTCGCTGTATTCCGCGTTGCTACCGCTTCTACCGCTGCCGCCGTTCTATTGATCTATTTCGACTGCCATGTCGCTTCAACCCCCTTCGGCGGCTTTGATCGAGGCAACTTACACGGGCGGGTGTGGCCCTAGTCATCCCCATTTTTATTTTGTGACTAAGATTAGAAACAAGATTTTCTGATTGCACAAGAAGTACATGCTTTATCTCACATAATGAGCATTGCAGCACCTTAATACCACTACATCTTCTAGCCATAATCCAAATCGAAAATGATTAATGTCACTAACATTAGAGTGCCTCAAAATGCATTTTAAAACCTGCATTTATTGTAGGCTATTTTATAATTATCATATCTATCGGAGCTATTGAAAAAAAAACTACCTTATGTTATGCTATATTTGAGACACAAGTGACTAATTTTATATTAGAGCTTAAAAGTAACTGAATAATGTGTTTCATGTATCAAATTCACAACAAATGAATTGAGGTGTATTTCATCTATCATTAAGTTTAAAAGTATTTTCAAATTTTGAATGCAACTGAAACCTGAAAGAAAAAATGAATAACAAACATAGCATATTTTTGTTTCAAATAATTTTTCAAATATTTTCATTGCTAATTTCACTCAATTAATAAATTTTCTTTAATGAAAAAATTAAAGAAAAGAATATCATCATCGATTATAACATTTCCTTATCTTTTTTACTGATTTTGCTGATTTAATGATCATAGTTGTAAGATAGATTTGAGATTAAAATCAACATTAACATGTTGATTGGAAGCAAAGTACAAAAACACAAATCCAAAGGTGATACTTAGGACTTATCACATACAATATGATTGTTAATAGTATTTTTCAAACTACCAAGCATCACAAATTCATGATTACATATTAATCTTGCACAAACATTGTTTTAAATTAAACAGAAACAATCACTAACTAACAATAAAAAACTAGAAGTTCTTTTTCACAATAACCTGTTAATCAAAATTCTTGTTTTATCTTCATTATATTGTATAAAAAATTGGATAACTTCATGTATTGAAAGTAAATATTTTTTCAACTATAAAGAATATTATTTTTATTAGTGAAAAAATTAATTATATAAGTATGATATGCCTGCACTTATTAATAGTTCATATGACATTAAAAAAATTAATCTAAAGATATAATCAATTTGAATAAAAATCGTTAAATTTGAATAAAAATTGATTTCATGTAAGAATACATACTTAATGAATGAATTATATTTCAAAATTTTAACCCTTAATAAACTATTTTTTTGAAATTAAATGTAATTATATCATAAGATTCATTTTTTAAGAACTGTATTAATTCAGAAAGTAATAAAAAATATCTGGAAAATTAATTATATCATTTTAAATTCATAGATTTGAATCAATTATTTGGTTTTTATTTAACACTGATTCTCATGCTAATATTTTTATGAATTTTTTATTGGTATTTGAAATAAAAAATTCATTGACAAATTTTTATCCTGTAATTATCATAATATTTTACAAAAATGATATCATTAGTTGATAATTCTTCAAAAAATTTACGAACTCAATTTTTTTCAAAATCATGATCATTTTTTTCAAAATCATGATCATTTTTTTCAAAATCATGAAATAGATATTCATTTATTTTCAATAATGGTTTTATATTAAAACCATTATTGAAAATAAATGAATATCTATTTCAGTTGAAAACTTATACCTTTTCTACTTGAATTCTAAATTGATATGTGTTTTTCATGAAAAAAATCATGACGACAACACAATATTGAGATTATTTTTTAATGTAATAAATAATAACTAAATAAATTTAAATTCGAGTGAAAAAATCGAGCTATTACTCACCAAGGAGTCGAATCTTTTATCTATATGGAAAAAATCAAGTTTTTAAAACAAAACTATTTCACAAAAAGATTCTTGAAATTCAAGTATCTTAAAAATTCTAATTTCTTTCAAATTCATATTTACTCACTATATCAACACTGTTGTTGATAAAATAGTCTATAAAATGATTCAGAAATTTTGAAAAGCACTCATAGGTAATTTTATTTATCAATGTAAATTTGAAGTATATGTTAATTTTTTTGGAAAGCTTTCTAATCATATGCATGTCTTGTGTAAAGTAAATTTTAAAGATATGATAATCCAAAAAAATATATTTATACTGCCTCAAAAATATTTAACCTTTTTAACAAAATTAATCAAAGATATTTTCAAAATTTAGAATTAGGGAATAAATATTTTATTACAAACAAAATTTTTGTTCTTGAGACATATGATATATATTTTTAGGATTTTCATTCAAGAAAGATTGACCATACATTTAGATATAAGTAAATAGATGTTTTCAGTAGGATTGCATTTATATGTGATTTTCCCCTAGAGATTTGATAAAAAATTAAATATATGAAAATTATTATTTTTAGAAAATCTTTCACATATAGATTGTCAAAAAATTAGCATTATCTTGAAAATAATTTTTGATGGTAGATCATAGGTTTTTATGACCTTTTTCCCAGTAAGTGAATGAATGACTTGTAATGTGTTTTCTAGTCTTTTGAACTTTGTGTACCATTGGCTTGATCTCTTTATTACTTAATATGTAATATTTATCATACTATTATTGTTCTTGTTAACTATCTAATGATCTCTCATTTATTATTATTTTCATGATATTAAATAAAATGAAAAAAAATAGGAAAATAAAATTTTAATAATGGAATTAAACATGTTATGTTGAACTTGTGTTTTTGTTGGAAACTTTTTTTCTAAGAATTAAAATTTTTATACTTAAAATTTTTTAAAAAAATAATGAAACTAGGCTTTAAAAATGTGATTAAAATTCATAATATAAAATTTTATTTTGCATAAATGTTATGTGATAATGATAAATGTTTTAAAATTTTCTGTCGAAATATGTTTATTTTTGAAAAACTTATACTTTTAATTTTGAGATTTATTTGTTGATGAGCCAACACATGTATAATTATTTTTTCTTAGATATAATTCAAGCTTGTGTTATAGCATATTCCATTACATTTCATATATTGTTAGGTCTCATATGCAAAAGATATAATTTTCCAAGTTTTTAAAACATCAATGTGTACATATTGATCGAATAATGTAATTTCATTTGAAAATAATTTTGTATTTTTCCCGCTTTATCATGGGAAATTTCCATGAAATTCGAATCTTTATGAAATGTTTTTTAAACTTTGTAATTTGTTAATAATTTGTTCCCAAGAATTTTAAGTCACTTTTTTTTCTTATATTAAAAAATCAATACTTTATTGAACTATATTTCTTGTCATATGAATATTTTTTCTTATTCAATTCACATTTTTTTAGTGGTATAATTATGTACGTTTACATGTATACAAAATGTACATTTCAATTATCATAATTTATCATTTAGAATTTGCTCTCAATTCTTATTCTATATTTGGTTTTGGGTTCTGAAAAGATACAATCTTTAAATTGTGATATTATCTTCTTATGTACTTGGAAATTAATATCTCAAAATTAGTCAGAATATTTTTATGACTTCTGTTAAAAATTAATTAATGTTTGTCATGTTTTTTCATCTGTCTGAAACAGCATGATTTACAAGATTAATTTTATAATTTACTTTGCTTAAAGCGTTTTGATCATAGTTTTAATTTCTTGAAGATTGTCATCAACATACTAGTATCCTATGTTTAATGGGATCATGATCAATAGTAGATATTTTATTATATTTCTTGTTTTTAAAATGTTGCTCAACAAATGATATCTAAATATAAACTTTTGTTATTCATTCATGTTTGAAATATATGTACGTTTTCTATTAAATTTTGAGAATTTTACTGATGATTTTCTCAGACTTCAATATTACTTTCAAGCTTTCTGTAAAGCTCAATTATCTTCTTCTTATTTTCCTCATTCTTGTGCATTTTTCTTAAAATATTCACATGCAGATAAAGTTGTAAGGATTCCATTTTCTTGTTCCGTAAACAACAACGCATCCCTCACTTTCCACCAAATTCAGTTTTCATATCAGTTAAAGCAAAGTTTTATTTTAAAAGAACATTATAGAACATCTCAAAAATGTTAATTTAATTTCTTATGTTTTATCGAAGAAATAATTCACAATTGAAACTACTTTGTTTCTTGCTTGATGGTCAGATATGACTTTGTAAGCTTCTTCTGCATGCCCCTAGACTCGTCGCCTTACTTCATGTGAAATCTGAGTTAAAGCGCATACTATATTTGACCCCTTTTGTAATATCCTAGGCCATAATAGCAACTTCAATTTGAGCAAAAACTTTTAAGATGTGTTTATTTTGGAGCATAAAAGGAAAACAAAAAATACGCAATGTGATGGTTTTGCGGATTGTTGGGTTAAAAATACTACAAATATATCTAATGCGAGAAGGACTCCAAAGTCCCCACAAAGAAATTTTTTCCTTCATTGAAGTTAAATATTCTTGTTAGTTGAAAATGCTTATTCAGTATGTAAGACATTAATATACACTAGATAATCACAACATGAACGCTGATTACGAAAATCAATGTAGATGAACTTTCAGCTTGTATCTTAATATTGGGTGTGTGCATCACAGGTCATTCTCATGGAATGGATTCAGAATACAATATGATCCCTTAGTATTCCTCCTACGCACCATAGAAACCCCGTCAAAGACCTGTTGTAACCACAAATTGAATCCATATACGTTCAACAACAGATATGATAAAAATGCTCTTACATGAAGGAAAGTTACGGTTGCTTCACTTGCCGTTCACCCGAAGTAAGTGCATTTTACCGGAAAGACAATCTTTCCACAAGGATTCAAAGGCGAAGGGAGCAAAAGTCTGATGAAATAGAAACATGAGCAAGCATAACAAATGTGATATGAAGCATAGAGGGAGGGGACTCACACAATGAGTGAGCATTGGGTGTTGAGAAGCGAAGTCACGCAGAGAGCTTTGCATGCGGTGAGAAGGTGCATGTCGTAGCGAACTTGAAACTTACAACACGTACAGAGCAAAGTGGTCAGAATTGCACTCTGACGAAAGTGCAAGGGACTGGATGCACTGAATAATCCTATTGATATCAACAGTGAGAGCTCCGGCTGAAACTTCGGAATAATCAGGAAGGCCAAAGATTTATGCAGATCACATGAACAGCAGCTTCAGCTCAGAACTTTGTTTACTCAACTCCCAGTGCCTAATTTCCTTGCGCAATGTTAGCCGGAGATTGTAGGTACTGAAATGTACCAGATCGCTGTCCGATTGTCATCAGACTTTACAGTGACAGTGTCTCGAACTGGTCTAGGATTTAATCAAACGAGTCTTTTTCCGAAGAAGCCCAAGCTTTTTCACAAAGTGCTTGATGACCAAACAGTGGAGCCAAAGATTGGAGGCATGAAATCTTAAGCAAGGCGTACACCTCAACACTGTGGGTCAAAAGTTGAACATATTTGACCCATGAACAATAAGAAGCTTTTCGTACACTACGAGAATCTACATTATATGCAAAGGTGGATTGGACTGGTCTTGAAATCGTCACCGAAGAACGTGTGCCTTAACTCCAAGAATATATCTTGATTATTTCAAAAGGCCATCGACAGGAACATTGGTTTGTTCACTTCGTCACTCTTCTATAATATTTGGGAATAGAGTTCAATAAAAAAAAATACCTCAAACATGGGAAGATCTGAGAATCTCCGACAGTAAAGCGTATCGGGATTGTTTAATAGAGAAACATATTATAGGACGAGGAACGAGGATCTCATGCAGCGAGTCATCTGAGGAAGGAAGAAGGATCAGAGGATTCAGGCGAGAGGCCGAGTCGCGAGTCGCAAGTCGCAAGTTCAACCAGAGAAAGACCCGAGCAAGTCGAAACTGGTGCCCTAACAGGAGGAAAAGCCCATCTTAAATGCAACGTGACGTGCCCTTGAATCGAGGGTCACTTGTGTGTTGTCGATTTGAAAAAGAAAATTGAAAGGATGACAGAGTTAAATAGTCTATATTTACATAAGAAAGTAAATAATCTCGACATATCCCCAACAAGAAGGAACCAGAGTAGATATTGGCTCCTTCTCAATTAATGAGGGCATCATTATTGCGCTCTGTTTAACACACATTCATTATGTTTCCCCAACGTTCCCCAAATATGAATGAGCTAGCGTAATAAAAAGAACAAGTCATTCCTTTTGTACCGCTCCGGCAAGTTAAGGGAACTACGCGGGGTGCGTTAAATAACCATTTCCATTTATCCTGATGCGTCCCTCCGCGACCGCCTCGCCCGGCCTTCCCTCGCCTTGGCACCGGGGGTTGCCGGTCGACCGTGCAAATCCCGGCTGTCGACCGTTATCCGACACGGCACCTCCGGATATGCAAGGCTGCGTCCAGCAGATAAGCCCCTGACAGACAACGACAGCGGACCACGTTTTGTGGTCAAAAGCTTTCTTCTCCGCCGTGGACGAAAGCGGGTGGCGGGGCCGCGAGCCCCGCGACCGTGACGTCGATCATGAGGGCATCCGCCCGATGACTGTACCTCGGTATGATTGGGCGGACGACACGGACCCCGCGACTTTGACTTGGCGTCGCGGGCAGCCGGTGGTCTCTTGCTGTCGTACGTGCCGAGCGGGCTCCCGAGGGGCGATGGCGTAGGCCACAGCAAAGCGGGCGGCGTCGATGATTTTCTGGGGCAGTGAGAGAGTGAGTGAGGGGAGAGAGAACATGGATGGAAAGGGGAGAGAATGAACGAGCTGATTCGATCGCGCTGCGTCGGGCTGGCTTCATAAATGCGGGCAGAAAAGGGGTGTGCGGCATCGCTGGCCTGCATGCGGAAGACGTGGAAAGTGCTCGCGAGCCTAATGAATTGGCAGTAGAAAAAGGATGTATCATGGATGGTGTCATCGGTGATTGGGCGGCTCGGGGCCTGCCTCTCGCTCGCCCGCGCGCTCGGTCCATGGTCACCACGGGCGAGCTGACCGTCGTCGGCACCCGAGCGGAGTCAGATACGTGATAAGGACTCGGGGAAGCCCGCGAGCCGACCTAGCCCTTGAGCATGCAACTACGTAGTGCGTACCGGATCCGGACCGAGGATAAGGAGCTGAGGAAAAGTGGCCTCCGTCCGTCTGGATGCCATGGCATGACCTCTGCTCACTATTGCAATGCGAGATTGAGACAGAAGATTCTCGCGAGATTTCCCAAGATTTTGAATCCGATGTGCGCATGCGAGATGCGATGTGTTTGCAGATGCGAGCAACGGTGTGAACTCGTGCTGGCAGACAGCCATCTACAGGCACTCTCCCGGGCTCAGATCGGAGGGCGAGAGAAAGATGAAATGAGTGTACAGCACTTCAGACCTCTACTGTCTGCCGGTCTACAGTCGCCCAGAGAGTGTATGGTACAGTCCTGTACACGATGCTCGCTCCCTGAGTCCCCTCTCTCTCGCTCGCCCGGCTTCCTTCGTGCTTCTGTACACCTCATCGGACGTCGGTTATGAGGAGGTTAGAGATTGGAGTTCTGTCCAGCGTCACCCCAGTCCACTCCAGTACAGTCCGAGTGCGAGTCTGCGAGATGGGGTGGGGTACGACGAGACAGGTAAGCTAACACACACGACATGGTGTTCCCTACCGTTAGAAAAGATGGGCTACTCTGTAAAGTCCAGCTCGTTGCAACCAGGTTCCCTTACTGCAATGTGGCTAATTACTTCGTCAGAGAGAGAGAGAGGGAGGGAGAGAGGCCTTTTCCAGGTGGAACTGGCACGCTACCATACGACTCTGACTGGCCGGAAATGGCTCACTTGCAGGACTAGTTTAGAGGCTCCGCTCGCGAGTCTGCTAGTGAGCGCATTCGCGCTTCTTTTCGTTTGTGTTTTGGCAGTTGATGGGTCCAGTGGGAGGCAGCAACGTGGAGGCAAAAAGGCAGAGCATGAAACAGATTAGCTGAATGAAATGATCACCCCCGGAGACACATGGAATGAAATGATTACCCATCCAGATGAACATCTACCCTGCTCTGCACTGTGAGTCTGTGACGCATCTTCCACAAGTCAGTTTCATTTCTTGTAAGCCCAAGGAAGCTACATAATAATCTTCTGCTTGCTCGGGGTTTTATTTAGTTAAATATCACGTCCACTCGAGTTCTCTGTTGTTTCCACTGCATCATTCCTTCTCGATGATACTGATTGGAACTGACTTGTAGCCAGAACTGCAGATTCAAAGTACGCGAGATAGAAAACTGTAGCATTGTCCTACCAAAGTACGCTTTCACGCAGGTACAGACTCAATCTCATCATCTCGGCCCCGCTTCTCTCCGCCCAGCCCAGCGGCCCCGGCCAAGTTTCTGCTGCTGCGGCTGCAGGAATGCTTTGTCCGTCCTTTTCAAAATCATTCCACCTTGTGTCTTATCAACAACAAATCAAAAGCTCCTATGGCCTCCGCGTAGCATAGCGGTGCTAGTGCTCTCGCTCGCGCACCGAGTGCCCAACTTCTCACAGTCGCAGCTTGCTCACTGCTTGGCAACTTATCAGACGAATGATGGGATCTTAGAAAGAATCCTCTCTCCGCACTCTGCAACTCCCACCTGCCCACCATTCGGCAGCAGACGAGACGAATCCACAGAACGGAACGGATTCAACGACTCCAGCTGTTTAAACTGTCTGAGTTACATCTACCGCACTGAGTTCGGCCGTCCGCAGTCACAAACAAAACAACCGCATTCCAACCTGATCCGTGGCCGCAGTAAGTTTACGCGACCGTTGGTCTGGACTCTGGGCACATTCCAAGGTCCCTGTGATTGAGAGAAATCCAGAAAACAAACATGCGCCTGTCGTACCTTGCATCTTCTACTCCGGATTACGTATGAGAAGCTGCAAATAATTCCTTGAACTTTCCTTTCCTCGCGCTCCCCCATAACAAGTTAGAGTAGGTTCCCGAGTGCTACTGGTGGGAGAAACTGGTGCCTTCCAGCTTACACACAGTTCCAGTTGATGGAAAAAGGTGCTCACATGTGTAACTGACCTGCGATTCGAACGATATTTTTAAATTGCGGTATTCACCTCGAGGTTTAGCCAGAATGAGACTGCGCGCTCGGGGTCGAAAACCCCCATCATACTGATATTTTCCACGGTGTCTTCAAAGTTTCGAAACTGCTTGCTTTTCTTCTCTCCGAGTACGTACGGTGCATCAATACGTATGCAATTATCTCTCTAGGCTAGACAAAAGACAGCTGCATTAATTTGAGCTTTTGTAGCATCTTTCATCTGTCCCTCAGATCCACACACACCGATTCGGAAGCCATTTTTTTATTTCCAGAAAAGGTTAAATGTACGCAGAACGGACAAATCACTTAAGACGAATGAATCTTTTCTTTCTTTTAGGAAAAGAGCGATGGTGCGATGCGTGTGGCAAGGAAGCAACGCAACGGAATCTCGATTCAAGCAACCCGTGTCGGTCTTCACCCGGCAGTCCCCTTCACCAATCTCTGTTCGGCTCCGTGCGTACAAGAGTAATTTCTTCTCCTCGCGTATCTGGAGTAATTTCAAATCCTTCCATTGTTCTTGGCCCCTTTCTCGCTCTCCCGTCTCGCTGACGACCGACTTCCACGACTGCGCTCGAGAGCAAGATGCAAGATGAAAGAGCTGTCATGCCAAAAATATCACGATCGAGCTCGGCTGCCTCGGACCCGTCATCTATCCTGGCCTTTCCGCATCGCCATGGCCTATGAGCAGTGGCGGGCCAGTGAAGCTCCCCTGCCCCTTGACCGAGTCCACTTCTGCGACTTCGCGACCGCTGACAGAAGAACCATTACTGCTCTTTTAAACTATTTATAACCTTGCAAATTATGTCGAAAAAATCTGAATTTATCGATTCACTTTGAAGTGATGCGAATGAGAGTCCCGCAGTTTCCGTGTAAAAACATTTGCAATTCTTGTCAGATCAGACTCGACTCGTCGTTGCTTTTACATGAGCTCTGACGGAAGTTTTCCAGCATGTGACCATAGGCTTAAGGGCCAAGAAGACAAAATTCCATGAATTTTTGTCATCTTCACATCCAACAAATGAATTCTTCGTGAACGATCAAACGCAGTTTTAGTCGATGTAGTTGCCTCTGCGTATTATCCTTATATCACGCAGAAAACCCTTTGAATACATAATATATACGATGCTGAAGACACTAAAACATTTCAAAGCTTCGATTTCAGTTTTAATGTTGAATTCTTGAAAAGCATTGATCTAAAAATAAATACATGGCTAATAGAAAAAGTAATATTACAAGTCAGCCTCATGTGGGAAAACGGAATAAGATATGAAAATACGGTTTCCAACTATTGATACGGAGTTAAGTTTTAACTGAGAAGTTTTTGGAGATCTATTGCCGTAATTGCAAGAGAAATACAGATGAAGAATATAAATAATTTTGATTCATTTTAATTTATAGATTTTATTCCATGAAATTATAGAAAAAAAAAAGAAAAACCTGTATAGAGCGCTTATTTCACTTTCATCCGACTAAAATAGTGAAATCAAATAGATTAACAGTTTTTTGTCACAACATAAATCATATCCTGTATAGCTTAAACGGATGGAATGGATATTTCTTTTGACTAATAATAGGCCTTAAAAAATAATTCAAGAGGATATTTAATATTTTCTTCAAAATATATCAAATTTTTAAAATAATTCAACGCAATATAAAAAAACATACAATTTACCTAAATAAAATAATCGTGTCAATTCTGAGTAATATCATGCAAAAATATTAATTACATAAGATTACAAAGTATTCCTTTTCTACCAAGTGCAGGACTTATCACCTAGAATCATATCCCAGGCACCCAAAGAAAAAGAAAAAGAAAATCTTCAATACTGTTGAGCAAGCAATCAAGGAAACTAGGGAAACGGTCAGAATGGCACGGTTACTATTTGATCCACGTCCTCCGGACCTCCTGTTATTTCCAATTCAATTGAATATTTTTAACAAATTTATACATAAATATAATTTGATGAATAAATAATAATTTATTATAGATTTAAAATTAATAAAAATTATCTAAATTATGTTATGAGCTCTGAATATGTGGAAAAAATAAACAAAAGCATATTGATAAAAACATTAAGACATCACAAAATTGTTAGAATAACTTGATCTACTATGTATAAATGACACACAAGGGCTCTACAATTTTTTTTTATATATAAATGCATAAAAAAACACTATATTGAAGTTCATCATATGATTCACTTATTTTGAAGTTAGTTTTTCAAAAAAACGTGTATATCATCCTAAAATACATCCTAGCAAAATTTCAAGTTAAGATACTATGTATAAACTATCAAAGCAAAAAAACGTTTTGATAAATTTGAAAACTGATGAATGCATGGCATATACTTTTATGAAACAAAAATTTGAAATTCATCATTAATAAAACCAAACACACAATCATTACGTCCTTGCACATGTATAGTATGTTATAATTTCATGTAGCAAACACAAAATTCTTGATGTATAAATATGATTATTAATTTTCTATTGAAATTTAAATTAAAAATGTTGCTCACTATCATGATAATTTTTTCTAAGTATTGATACAATTTTTTCCAGGAATATCTGAAAATCTGAAATATGTGATGTCTTTCAATTTTATTTTCAGAAAAATATATTTTGAAATGAAGAATATTTATAATTTTTTGGATTATTAATAATATAAATATTTCTTGAAATGATTATGATTTTTTACGTTTTAATGCTTGTTAAAATAGAATTTTTCATCGCCTTAGCTTCCGATATTTTAGTCAAACAAAGAAACGGCGAATATTTTCCATTAGTCACATGAATAGGTAAAAAGATCATTTGGCTTTGATCTAACGATATATCTCATCACTACTTCATTTATTTACTGGAAAATTCTACAATGTACATGTGATTTTCTTTTGAATCTCAAAATTAGTCAAAATGGAAGGTTTATATATCACCAGCATTATGTGCTTTAGATTTTCAACTTTCCGCATAACTCTTTGTGTAAATTCAAAGTTTTCTGACTCCTCTACAAGTGGAAGTTAGGAGAAAGGAGCTTGCGAAGGTAAAAGAGGCTCAAGAATCGGGTTTTGTTGCTTATTTACACGATGGGAGAGCAATCGTTACTCAGAGGAGGAGGGTGTCGTCAACATAGCAATCCGAGAAGATAAGGGTGTTGGTGTGGAATATCCGAGGACTTTCAACAACAAAGTATGTGAGTGCTGCTCCGATTTGGAAGATGGCTGACGTCATCAACATTGTGGAGACTTGGGACATGAAAGCAATACTATTGCTGAGTTGGAAGGGTTTACCTTGGTGGGGTCGACATGGAACCAGAGAAGACAACATGCGGGAAGGGGTCAAGGAGGTATTGCTACTTTCATCAGGTCTCATCTTCTACCTCTCATACATCTAGAAGCTCAAGATGTTGGTGGACAGTATCATTGGCTACGTCTCGGGGTGGTTGGAGGATCTTATTGCTATTTGGCAATTTGTTATTTTGCACCATTGTCCATGGGTATCTACTCAACACGCTTTTGCAACCGAAGTGAACCATTCCATCGGCTTATTGAAGATGTTCTTAGATTCCAAAGTAAAGGGGATGTCTTTCTTGCTGGAGATTTCAATGCTCGTATACGTTGTGCTCAATTTACTCAATTTAGTGATCCCTTGGCTTCTTCTATGTTTGAAGAAATTTACGATAGTTTGTGGTCTAGAACCTCTTTTGATCCTTCCACAAACTCTTTGACAGAGCACTTTTTGACATTTGGAGCCACTTGTAACTTGAAGGTTCTCAATGGAACCTCTCGCTTTCCCAACTCTCAGTCCAATACTTGTTTTTCCCCTACCGGTGCTAGCACAATAGATTTTCTCTTGTCTTTCTTGGTTAGTACCTCTCTGATCTCCAATTTTGATGTTTTGGATCCTCAACCTGAATCAGATCATGCAACTCTTTTGTTCACACTTTCAATGTCAAAATCAATCTCTACTTCACCTTGCCAATCTCTTTTAGCTTCTCCCAAGTTTCGCTTAGATCCTTGTAAAAGAGACCTTTATGCAGAACATCTACAAGATCTTTTGACTCACACCATATGGAGTCCAGATTCGCATACCGCTAGTTTACAGCTCATAGAATTGCTCAAAACTTCTGCATCGAAGTTTTTTTTGAGGCATAGTACTAGGATTGCTAAGGGGCTACCTTGCAATGGATGGTTTGACTCCGAATGCAAGCTAGCAAGGGCAAGGTCTGTTGATAGGTCTTTGGATATTCAAAGTCGGCTTCTTTTGACAAGGATATACAAAGACTTGGTGAAGTCTAAGAAACGAGCTTTCTTAAGACGAAAGCAAGAATCCTTGACAAAGGACCTGATGAAGGATCCCAAGTCCTTTTGGAGACGATTAGCTACACCATCGTCAAAACCTTCTCTTGATTCCGAGTCTTTGGTAGCTTTTGCCGAAAAGCTCTATTTCTTTCCAGAAGCCACATCTATGCCATATTGCGAAGCAACACCTGGATTATTTTCGGAAGGAGAGGTGATGACTATTCTCCGAAAATTAGCAAATGGCAAATGTGAGGATTTAGATGGCTTGTCCATTGAACTTATCAAGTGGGGAGGAGATTGTATTGGACCGGTTCTCACTAAGCTTTTGGAAGATGCTATGGTTCATGGTTTTCCATCAACTTGGTCCATGCGGAAGATTGTTCCTATTCATAAATCAGGAAGGAAGGACGTGGTGACAAACTATCGCACCATCATGGTTGGTAGTGTTTTTGCCAAGTTGTTTGGAAAGTTGGTAGAATCGAAGTTGAGCACATGGACAGAGGATTTTCATAAGAGAGCAAAGGCCCAAGCCGGTTTTCGTCCTACATACAACACTATTGACCATATTTTGGCCTTACGTGTTTTATGGGAGAAATCCAAGGGCAATGGGAAAGCTTTATTTTGTGCCTTCATCGATTTGAAGAAAGCTTTTGATAATGTTCCTCGAAAGCTTTTATGGGAAAGACTACAAGACATTGGAGTACCGGCTAATCTACTCGGAGCTGTGGCCACTTTATACACTTCAGTTCGAGCTAAGATTGATGCCTCTTAGCCTCAAGAGATCTCGAGCACCATTGGAGTTATTCAAGGTTGTCCTCTCTCTCCTACTCTATTCGGAATATTCATAGATGATATAGAAAGGTGGTTGGATGATTGTGAGAGTGAAGGAGTCAAACTTGGAGACTTTGTGATCAAAGCTCTTTTGTATGCAGATGATATCATATTACTAGCACGTGATGCAATTAGTTTACAGAAACACCTTGATACTTTGGCTAGCTTTTGTACTCGAAATCAGATGGAGGTCAATCTGGAAAAATCAAAGATCATTCTTGTGGGCACTAGATCCAAGTTCTCTCTCTTTTACAAGGGACTAGAATTGGAACAAGTGAAGAGTTACAAATATTTAGGCATTGATTTTTCTCAGAATTATAGTTGGGCACTTTGTGTACAAAAGAGAGTAGAAGCTGGTTACAAAGCTCTATATTCATTGTTAAATCGATGTAGAAGAGCTCATCTAGTATCTTGGAGTCTTAGGAAATTTTTATTTAGGAGTTTAGTGTTGCCGGTGGTTCTATATGGGACACAAGTGTGGGGTCCTAGCAGTAAGAAGACAAGTTGGGAGCGTGTAGAGAGGGTGCAAAAGATCTTCTTACAAGAAGAGTTAGGTGTAAGGAATCAAACTCCTTATGCTATTCTTCTTGCGGAAACCGGTTGTCTACCTCTTGAGGCCGAAGCTCTCTACTTGACCATCACTTATATTAGAAGGGTGAGATCTCTTGATGCTTCTCGACTTCCTCTTCATGCTTTGCGTGCCACACGTTCCAAGGGATGGTTTGCAGATGTGATGACTTGGTCTTTGAGGTGGAATGTCACGGAATTGGATTGGGATCTGCAACCTATGGCCCTTCGCGAGCGTATTAAGGAGGAGTTTCTCAACATCATTTGGAGGAGAGGAGGCACTAAAATGCAGTTTTATCAACTTCATGTGAATCCTATGCTTATTTATTGTGAGCAAGGGTACCTTGTTGCAGAGATTGCTACATCTTTACGTCATATTATTGCCAGGCATAGAACAGGATCTCATAGGCTTGGAATTGAGGAAGGACGTTGGTTGAATATTGATAGGAGTGAACGGATTTGTAGGCTATGTGATGGGAGAAATGTTGAGGATGAAGAGCATGTGTTTATTACTTGTACTAGATATATAGAGATTCGAGTAGCGCATAAAGTTGATGTCAAGAATTTCTTTTCTCTGCTTCAACTCGACCCTTATGATTTAGGTTGTTACATTAGAGATATTATTAGTTACCGTTCTAGTGCTTTGGGCACTAGCTAGGTGGTTCTTTTGGTTCTCTCCTAGTTTGGGGTTGGATTGTTTGTATTGTGTTTTTTAGCCTTTTGACCCTTTGGGTCCCACGGGCTTGATCTATTTACCATTTACCATTTACCGTTTATTTGTTATTTGGGAAATTTTATTTACTATTTGGAATGGGCATTTGGTTCCCGCTACAAGCTTTGTTAGAAAGAGAAATAAATGAAGAAAAATTAAATTTCAAACTCTGTTTTGGAAGGCCCATCGTATTAAGAATGGGACAGAAAATTTTTAAAATGTCCAGTATTTGCACATTTGTTGCAGACATCCATTGTGTAATTCATCAGAGAGGCAGCTATTGTTCAAAACTAAGTCACACGATGTGTAACGATGATTCAGTTTCTAATAGTACAATGGTTTTTTTCACCATTTTCGGTGTGAAAGTTGTATCAGTATTCAAAATGTGCACTCTTTGAGTGATACAAACTATAATTGGCATAACACGATACCCCAAAGCGAGTAACTACAAGTGAGCCAAGCTACTTAGACTGTTAACGAAAAGCAGCAGTATAGTGTAAAATATATGATAAGAATATAGACTCTGAATAGCATATCAATGAGAAATTACTTGTTCCCTGTCTTTCCTTACATGTAACCAGCAGTGGCGAAGACGCTAACCGGTTAGTTTCAAATGGTTCTGATCTCCATATGTCCATGGTTTACTTTCAGTTTGTGTACAAGTATCAATCTCGGGCTTGTAAACTTAACCTGCGTTTTGTTAATCGTAGTTAGTTTAACCGTAGTCAGATTTGACCTCTAGTTAGGATTTAAATTACTTAACTCTAGTATGAACAAGTTTCAGTTCAGTCTCACATGTACAAAGACGGGGAGAGATAATGGAGAACTGATGTAACATTCTGGGTTTAGTGAAGCCTTTATCTCGACCCTGGACATAGTCTCATGTAGAGGTGAACTAGTTACATCACATCGATATGTGATTTTGATGATACACGGACAGAGTAATGTCCCATCTGCAATCAAGCTCACGGAGATGAAATATAAAATTCACATTCCAAACCGTTTATATGATTTGCTCATATTACTAAATAGATTTGAGGTTAGCTTAACTTGATATTCTCTATGTTCAATGCTCTTCATACATGTGATAGGCAGATTTTGCTCCAATTTATTTCCATCAAAATATGTAATCATTTAGGATCTCAAGTAGGTGTCCACGTGAGATCCCAGAGATAATACATGAGGATCTGCATCAAAATACATCTTCAAGGTGATCAAAACTATTTATTTCTTTTGTCGAAGCTTATGTAAATCACCGCATGTTAATAGTCGCTAAATTATGAGGCCAGTCAATCCATCAGTATCAAGCATGTTACTTTCTGAATTTCAAAGGCCAGAGCTTCAACTCGTAACTTGTGGTACCTACATCATCCAGTCCTGATTGACGGCATGATGGTTGCAAATGATCCTACACATGGACGAACAGATCGGTGCCATCAGGAGAAACATGTTGTTAGTCTTCATACTCCTGTTGCATGACGTGGTTCTATGCCTTATCTGCTTAGAGCTAGAGAATGTCTTCAAGGGCGAAACGAGGTGGTAGATACAAAGCAGCCAAAATGTGGAGGTGCAATTAAAAGTCCATCCATTGTCAACAAGAGAATGTTGTAAAGGGAGGAAAAAGGAAATGAACAGTTATGAACAATTCAAAGTCTTTTTGAAATTCTCTTCGTTTGTTCCTTTTATACAAAATCCAACATTTTGTCTCAAGGTCCAATCCTACCTCGGATGTAACAGGAACTGGATTGGAATGAAATCTTTGTCTTTCAGCCTAGTTTACCGAGGACTGAATTGCAATATATTCTACGATTCATGTATCCCAAGTAGGCCAGGTCTGCTTGCATTGGAGTGGCTTTTAGTCCGAGACACTGAACGAAATGGAGACCATGTGTAAGTTCGCATCACAAACAGGAAGAACCAAAAACCTCAATGTCCAAATCACATGATGAGTTTCACAAACATTCTCCCGCAAAGTTCAGCCCTATGTTTTAGTTGGGGGCTTTGCACCAATACGTGTAAAAATCTTTGTCTTTTCACTATAGTCGGAATTTATCACCGAGACATATACACCCCTTCAGACAGCCTAATACTAGACTTTCCTTTTGTCTGGGTTTGACGGATTCACAAGAATGTCAAAGAACATTGTGGAGAAGGACTCAAGTTATCAGAAGGAGACGAGTTGTTTCGAACATTCTTCCTTCCCCAATCATTCAACACTCCTGAGATTGTTTCTGTGTGCGCAGCTCGAGCCCACCTCGAAAAGCTAGTGCAAATGGAGAGTGAGAAAATCTATGTCTTGCAATCTTGGCCCTCAGCTTTCGAAAGGTTCAGGCCCACACATCCACACACACACCCACCAGCGACTTTTGTAGGGTATAGACAAACACACAGAACCCAAAACCTCCATGCGTTTCTATCTACAGATGTAGAGATGATTCACAACTGGTGGCTACATTACACCACAAGAAGCTAAGTAATGCAGCTACAGTTGGGAAGTGATGTGACCAATTACGTCAGTCCATTTGTGACCACTTTCGTTCTTTTCTTCTCAGTCCATCGTGACCACTTCCTCCCTAATTGCATATCATGGAGGGAGCTGCCTCGTCTCCACGCCTTTACTTCCACATCGAGAAATACGAAGCGGCCGAATAGAAGGAAGGAACGATGGAGGGAGATATGGACGCATGACAGAAACATATATCTCAATGGAAAAGTTGGGGTGGGCTGGGCATGTATTATGGCCCATCTACTCATTCCATCCTGCCAAGGAAGGGGAGGCAGGCAACCCCTGGAACACTCAACTCGGAAGACTACACTGCTACGACAACGAAGTGTACGTCATCAAGCTGCATGCCGAGTAGCAAATTCCATAATATACGTACCAGGGAGACTCTGATTGTGATGGTCATCAACCGCAGGGATAGGCATGTACAGCAATGGTACTGCGGTCCACTGTATAAGCCGTTCCCCTGGACAGCAGCGACGACGGAGGACCGGTGATCGACATTAATAACCGGCGATTTGGAACGGGTTTAGTTGAGGGCCACCTCAGGCAATGTCTGGCGGGCCCGCCTCCGCACAATTGCGGCTGGTCGGCGAGGCCTGGCTCCCGACGACGGGCGCAAGCTAGCAGGGCGGGGAAGGGGCCAGGGAGCCAATATAGCGCTGTGTCCGAGAGGGAGATGGTGAGGAGCCGGCCCCATCTCGCCAAAAGGACGTAAGAAGGGGACCCCCACAGCCTCACCCCCGCCCCCAGAACCACCCGCTGCTGCTTTTGGCAGGAGCGACAAGAATTTTTTGGGGCCCAACGTTTTACCCCCGGGTCAACTCCGACGTTAGCCCCTCGGCCCAGTGCCATCTCAACGAGGGCGGGGGGTTGCCGGTAAATCTTTGTCTGAGCAGTGTCTCTTCCCCCTCCTCCCCATGCAGCCTGAGCTCTGCTGGGTCGCGAGCCATGCGCCTCTTTCGACCTACCACTGGCGAATCAGATCTTGCGTAGCCTCTGTGATTTGGCGACGGCGCGGAGGCTGCCATGGGGGGCAAATTAAATGGAATTCCGATGGAGGAGCGCGTGTGGACTTGGAAGAGAGGAGATCGGCAGAGGAATCATGGAGTGTAGAGTACGTCGGGGATGGGGGCATGGAGGCCGGGACGGTGGGGGGACAAAGAAAAGAAAGTGGAGGGGCGCAGGGGAGAACCAGTGATGTAGTGGAGGGAGGGTTGCGGGATTGAAGAAGAGAGAGAGGGAGGGAAAGAGAGAGAGAGAGAGAGAGAGAGAGAGGAGGGATGCGAGTGCATGCGTGAACAGTACTTGCGTGCTTGTGATCTGACGACGACGGTCTTGTTGATTTTCTAGTTACCAGTCAAGTGGAGATTGTTGTGAGATTTCGAGGAAGAGAGAGATGGGATTCAGTGGTTGCAGTTCTCACGCTCGCCTCTGATAACGAGCGTCAGAGTGACGGGTGGAGGGGAGAGGAGGAGGAGGGGAAGGGGAGTGAAGTGAAGGAAGACAAGGCACGGGAACTCGGAGTTGGACTGCAGCTGCTGCCTCTGCTGCACCTCTTGAAGGTAAAGAGCAGGGGGAATACTGGAAGAGGGCGGAGGGAGCGAGGATGAGAATGGGGTTGTGGTAGAGGGGAAGAGGAGCGGGTCACCACAGTCTCTGTTTCCGAGCCTCGCGGCATGTGCTGATTTACGAAGAGCTTTTCCACATCTGTAATGCAGGTCCGAGTTTTGATCATCGAGGAGAGCGGGTGAGACAGGGAGGGAGGTGGTGATTGGTTATCTTTTCTCGCCCCTCTTCGGGCGGCTTTGCAGTGACTCCATTCAGAGTGAATGAACACTCAGAGAAGAAGAGTTGTATAGCGGTACGAAGGAGGAGGGTATTGTCTTTCTGTCAAGTGTGGATTTATGTTTGTTGAATTTCCGAGCGAGGCGCGGGGGGAGAGTCCTGGTGGAGAGTGCAAGAGAGAGGTCAAGGCAGGTGTGCACGAAGAAAGAGAGAGACGGAGACGGAACCAAGAGGTATCTGATGCTGCCAATCAGTGGTGTGCGTAGGACAGGCGAGGACATCGAGATACATGTGAAGGTGGAGTCCAGGCGGAAGCAAGTCGCGAGATTGATCTAGTGAGTGCATGAGAAATCTGGTATTCGCCTGCCAGTAGACTAACGCCTCGTGGCGAAAGTGGAGAAGAGTAGTGCTTGCCAGCTTCAGCTCGGTGTGGTGTTGCCATCTGCTATCGGCGGCCGAAACAGTGGTGGGGATGAACTTATGATGTACTTTGATCAAAGAAGATTTTGAAATCAAGACTGTGAAGTGTCTGCAGATATACAGCAAGGAGTTTTCGCTGAAAGAGTAGCTACATTTCGCAGCAGCTCTTTTTCGGACCTGAGCGGCGTCTTGAGCATTTCTCGATGCAATGGACAGTTTCGAAGTGTGAGGTTTTCCTTCTGTATACTTGCCGTGGTGGACCATCTGACCTTGACGAACGAAAGGACGAGGGAAAAGTAAGGGCGACAGTCTGGGACGCAGAGATTTAGCTCTGAGTGACAATGCGGAGGAAGGTCTTGGCATATGCGGGATGAGCTGAACTGAACTCAGTTGGCACTCCTCGAGAGGACTAGCTGAGCTGACGTCAGTGGTGACGCAGGACTCGGTGGAACCGAACGAGGATAAAGCAGATCTTCTGGCTGCCCGGAAGCAGCGGTTAAGTTTCGACAGGATAGTGTCGCGTGTACTAGGAAGATTTGGCACTTCGATAGGGACGGTGGCGTCGTGCCCATACACGCAGGCGGTTATTTCGCACGAGTTTGTTGCTTTAGTGGATCACCGCATTGTTTCTGTCGCGCAAGAGTAATCGGCCTCGTTCCCTCCAGTGAGAGTGGACTTCGAGTTCCGCCGCCGCCGAAGTCCGTTTCCAGGCTGAAGTAAGTTACTGAACCGCACCGGCTTGTGTTACCCAATGAAGCGTGGGGACGACATGTCTATTTAGGGCTTCTGACGTGTGTCGCACGTCGTGTAACGGCTATCTGGTGGTTTCATCTCACGGATAAATTGTAGTAATACAGGGCTGACCGTCGATGATATTGGACCTCCAGTGAAGTTGGAGCTGTGCCCAAAAGTTTTCATGTTCTCACAGCATCTGTGTGTATACATGCTTGTCTAGGTGGTGACTTATCACTCCAGCATTGTGGTGATTTATTTGTTCGTGTTCCGTTCCAAACATGAACAAATATCACCACAATGTCACAGCTCGTATGAATATGTTTGGTACCCAACTTATCATACGAGCCGATTGGGAAACACGATGTGATAATTTCTTTGACTAATGTTCTGCGTTATCTTGATCTTAGATCTCGTAGCACCATTTAAAATTTAGAGTTTAATTTTGAAAATCACTATAGATGCCTTGAGCTCAGACCTAGTTAACATATAACAAATCTGATGATAAGTTATACAATGTAAAGTTGTAATGAGGTGTGGACCTTAAGGTCTGATCAGTTTGGGTTTAAGTCTCTCTTACTAGCTGCTGTGTTTTATGTCATGGGGTTATTTTTGTACCATCTGACAAGTTGCTGCAGCGTTTCCTTTCATGCAGGGCAAGATCTACCTGACACCCTGGCAGTAATGACATCGATGGAGATGGTTCCCGGTTTCCGTACTTCTGGTGTTTGCTGGTGATGGCGGTAGCAACGTGATGGGCGTGAATTGCCTGCAAGGTGGAGGAGGGCTGCGGCTACTTCTGAGAGCTTGCGATACTAATCAAAAGAGCTTTTCTTCTATACTTCCAGGTCCAGGTGAGCAAATGATCAACTTATCTGGAAGGTCGAATATTTACACCTGCTCAAGAATGTACCGTCCAGTAGCAAGTTTTATAAGCCTCTCTTTTAACGTCCAGTTACTTCAATTTGTCACCATTATCAAGTTAAAAGGCTGAAACATGTGCAAGAGCTACTCAAAGTTACATTCCAACTACTTTCCCTCTAAGATTACTTCGTCTCTGGAGTTCGAAGTACAGAGTAGGCAAAGGATGCACTTGATTCTTGCAACGTTGGTCAAGGATGTGATTTTTACAGAGGTTTCTTCTTGTAGGTTTTGGAAGTTACTTACACTACGGGGTTAGGCTTCATTTGTTCTTGAAAGGTGTGTGGTTGTCCCAGTATTTGAGACGTGAGGACCAAGTTGAGCTTACTCTTGAATTAAGGTCACCATACTTGGTAATGCGAGCTGTTGGCACGTCGTTCTTGTTGGTTTACTGTTGTTCAGTCTCATTGGAAATCCTTTCATTTCACACCTCCTCTCATGTCTTTGTATCGAGTCTTCACTCCCCTCCACAACTCAACCTGCGCGGGTAAGGTTAACGTGTTCCATAGCGAGTATTGGTATATTATAACTATTGCGAAATAACTTTATCAAAGTTACACGTTGTGCATCGCTTGCTTATCCTCGTATTAGCTTGCGGGTGCCTGTCACTCATTTCATGTGAACTCTGGTACATGTTTGATCCCCTTCGTTTATGTTCCTTAGGCATAGATACATAGCACTCTTCACTGTCATTCATTTAGTCATACCACATTCGTCATCGAACCAGATTTGTCAGTTCGGTTCAGTGGCTGTTTGGACTTGCATCCGAAGGTGATGGTTTCACTTTCACGCACATCTTGAGGACAGCGTCCATGTACAAGTTAGTGCAAAGCTTGATGTGAGTGTGAAGGATCATAACTAATTGATGTTGTGGTACCTTGTAACTGAACAGCCCAAGCTGTTCGATTATACATTCTCAATGGTTGAATCTTAACTCCCTCATGGTATGCATGTTTGGCCAGATCCTGGTTTTCTTTGAAGTGGAATCCGTCTTCGAACCGCGCCCCTCCTTGAAAGAAACGCAGCCTTGGAGGGTTATCCGCGGACAAGATGAGCATCATCAAGACGCAGATCATGATGGTTGGAATGTTCATGTTTCTCGGAGGAATGTGTGGTGCACAGGGACAGAATTCAGTAACGGTTTTGATGTCCTTCAAGAGCAGCCTAGGCGATCCAGCCCAGTTGTCTGACTGGGTCGTTACAGATGCCAGTCCTTGTGCATGGACAGGAGTTATCTGTAGTGGGAGCAGCGTTACAGGTCTTGAACTGTCCAATCAAGAACTTCAAGGGCCGCTCTCTCCAGAACTCTCGAAGCTGATCGATCTTCGGACTCTCAATCTGAGTATGAACGCGTTCATTGGTCCAATACCTTCAGAGTATGGGAATCTTTCAAAGCTGGAGGTGTTGGACCTGAGCAACAATGGTCTTGTGAACGGGAGCATACCGGATAGTTTTGGAAACTTTGTCAATATGGTGCATATGGATCTGAACTCCAACGAGTTAACGGGCACCATCCCGGTTGAGTTCAACAAGCTGGTGAAGCTGCAGTACTTGGACCTAAGCTATAACCTTCTGTCAGGTGGGATCTCCGGCATCTTTGATGATATGAGCAGTTTGGTTCATCTTGATCTCACCAGCAACACTTTGAGTGGTAGCGTGCCTCCCCAACTTGGCAATCTTACTAAACTATTGTTTCTCTCCTTCAACATGAACTCCTTCTCTGGAAACATTCCCAGCTCCTTCTCCAAGCTTGTGAATCTTCAAATGCTTCACTTGGGCCAAAACGCCCTCACTGGCGGTGTTGCCGCACTGTTTGACAACCTTATGAGCCTGCAGGTGTTAGATCTAAACAACAATATGCTTTCTGGTCCTATTCCAGTGCAGCTTGGCAATCTTACACAGCTCGTCGAACTGAACCTCAACACCAACGCGTTTTCTGGAACCATCCCTCATCAATTTGGAAACCTTCACAACTTACAGGATCTGGATGTGAGTAACAATTCCCTGTTTGGGGGAGTTCCCTCCAGTATATGGGCCTTGTTGTCTTTAAGACAGTTGTACTTGGGAAGCAATCACTTGAGTGGCTCGATCCCCCCAGAAGTGGGGAACTTGGTCAACTTGCAGGTTCTGCACATGTCTAGCAGCCACATGACCGGGGTGCTGCCATCGGAGATAGGGAATTGTTATGATCTGAGAAAGATTGACTTGTCCAACAACGCTCTCACAGGCCCGATACCTAGCTCTATCGGTAATTTGACGAACTTGATGACTCTCTATTTGCCGGTCAATAAGTTCAATGGCTCTCTTCCAGCAGCTATGGGCAACTGCAGCAGCTTGAAAATGGTGGCTCTGAACTACAACGAGCTTTCCGGCAACATTCCCTCCGAGCTTTCCAATCTGAAGAGCATCGTCACGTTCACTATTCAGGGGAACTTTCTCACGGGGACAATTCCTCTGTGGTTTGGCGAGTGGCAACAGGCCAAATCTATCATGCTGTCGAACAACATGCTTATGGGCCAAATACCGGCAGAGCTTGGTAACTGTAGCTCACTGAATATGCTGGCCATGGCGGATAACAATCTCAATGGTGAGATTCCTTCAGGAATTTGTCGCGCCCCGCTGAGCATTCTGTATCTCAACCAAAATCAGTTAGATGGTAATCTCGATGAGACCTTCAAGAACTGCATGGCACTAACTGAGCTGTACCTGTACAACAATAAGATAAGTGGTACCATTCCTGGCTACCTGGCAACCTTACCGCTGGTTATTCTGGAGTTTAGTGGAAACAACTTCACAGGCAGCTTACCAGATGAGCTCTGGGACTCAAAAAGCTTGCTAGAAATCCAAGGCAACCAGAACTTTCTCACTGGACCAGTGTCTCCGAAGATTGGGAATCTTGTGTCACTCCTTTTCTTGGTGCTGGACTACAACAGTCTCTCAGGGCCGCTACCGAAGGAGTTGGGTAAGCTAGTAAACCTGACATTTCTCTCTCTTCAAGGTAACGACATCAGCGGTGAGATCCCTATCGAGCTTTGCAACTGTGTCAGCCTCACGACACTCAATCTCGGCAGCAACCAGCTCACAGGGCCTATTCCAGCTGATATTGGGCAGCTAGTAAATCTTGACTATCTGATGGTCTCCCACAATCAGCTGTCTGGTCCCATTCCTAGTACGATGTGTGCAGATTTTCAGGTAATAGCCATACCAGTATCTGGTTTCATACAGCATCATGGAGTACTGGACCTCTCTTGGAACAACTTGTCCGGCGAGATTCCACCTCAGATGGGAGACTGCGCGGTGGTGGTCGAGTTGATACTCGCGGGCAATCAATTTACGGGACCAGTTCCACCTGAGCTTGCAAGGCTCACCAATTTGACGACGTTGGACCTTTCCCGTAATCAGCTCACTGGCTCCATCCCCCCACAGCTCGGAGAGGCTCACAAGTTACAGGGCTTGAATTTGGCCTACAATCAGTTCACAGGTTCGATTCCTCCTGATCTCGGAAACATTGCGAGCTTAGTGAAGCTCAATCTGACGGGTAATAAGCTGTCGGGCTCTATACCCGACAGACTGGGAAACTTAACCAGTCTTTCTCACTTGGATTTGAGTGACAACGAGCTCAGCGGGGAAATTCCCGCTTCGCTTGCGCAGTTGGCCGTAGTGGGGTTGAATCTTCAGCAGAACAAGTTCACGGGCACCATACATTCACTTCTGTCCAGGAGTGTCATCTGGCACCAAATGTCAACCATGAACCTCAGTCACAACCTGCTCGGCGGCCACATTCCAAGCAACATTGGAAACCTGTCCAGCCTCTCGTCCCTCGACCTGAATGATAATGCCTTCAACGGCAGCATTCCCGGAGAGATCGGCAATCTCATGCAGCTGATGTACCTCGACATTTCGAACAACCACATCAACGGAGAAATCCCCGAGGAGCTGTGTGAGCTGTCGGAGCTGGAGTACCTCAATATGTCGAGCAACGCCCTGACGGGGAAAGTTCCCAACTCCGGAGTGTGCGGCAACTTCTCTGCCGCCTCCTTCCAGTCCAACAATGGACTGTGCGGGGTGGTCATGAACAGCACATGTCAGAGCTCCACCAAGCCCAGCACGACAACTTCTCTGCTCAGCATGGGGGCCATCCTGGGAATCACCATCGGCAGTACCATAGCATTCCTCAGCGTCATCGTGGCGGTGTTGAAGTGGAAAATCAGCCGCCAAGAGGCTCTGGCAGCCAAGGTGGCCGAGAAAACCAAACTCAACATGAACCTGGAACCCAGCGTCTGCCTCACGCTGGGCAAAATGAAGGAGCCCTTGAGCATCAATGTGGCCATGTTTGAGAGGCCGCTTCTGAGGCTGACGCTGTCGGACATCCTCCAGGCTACAAACAGCTTCTGCAAGACGAATATCATCGGCGACGGCGGCTTCGGCACTGTGTACAAAGCGGTTCTGCCGGATGGGCGAACCGTGGCCATCAAGAAGCTCGGGCAGGCCCGCACGCAGGGCAACCGAGAGTTTTTGGCCGAGATGGAAACCTTGGGCAAAGTGAAGCACCGCAACTTGGTGCCTCTGTTGGGCTACTGCTCCTTCGGAGAGGAGAAGTTGCTGGTCTACGAGTACATGGTGAATGGCAGCCTGGATCTGTGGCTGCGCAACAGGGCCGATGCTCTGGAAACATTGGATTGGCCCAAGCGGTTCCGGATCGCCATGGGGTCGGCTCGGGGCCTAGCTTTCCTCCATCACGGATTCATCCCCCACATCATCCACCGTGACATGAAGGCCAGCAACATCCTCTTGGACGCAGATTTTGAGCCCAGAGTGGCGGACTTCGGGCTCGCCCGGCTCATCAGCGCTTACGAGACTCACGTAAGCACGGACATCGCCGGGACCTTCGGATACATTCCTCCTGAATACGGGCAGAGCTGGAGGTCGACAACGCGGGGCGACGTCTACAGCTACGGGGTGATTCTGCTCGAGCTGCTGACGGGCAAGGAGCCCACTGGAATCGACTTCAAGGACATCGAAGGCGGCAATTTGGTGGGCTGGGTGCGGCAGATGGTGAAACAGAACCAAGCAGTCGACGTGCTTGATCCTGTCATCTGCAGCGGCGGCCCCTGGAAGACGAAGATGCTACACGTCCTGCACGTCGCCAGCCTCTGCACTTCCGAAGATCCCGTCAAGCGCCCGACCATGCTCCAGGTGGTCAAAACGCTCAAGGACATCGAAGCAAGCCAGCAAGTGACCGGCTTCGAGAACCCTCTATAATCTACAGGTCAGTTTCGCAGCATCGCCGTAACGCCTCTCGCGTCGATGTGGAACCCTCTGATGTCCGAAAGTTTTCGCCTTCAATCCTGTCCCAAACCCCACCTTAAAAGGTGGGGTTTGGGACATGCTTTCCGTTTCGCAATCCAGCGATGATTCTCGTCCAGAGGTTGAGTTTGGGTGTGACTTGAAGGAGACTGCAAATTGACAGGGAATTATAAAATGGCATGAAGGCCTGGCTAACTGCTCGTCGCTGTTTCGTGTGCAGGAGTCAAATTGTAGGCGTTGATGATAGTCTGTAAAATATTGTGAAGCTAATATTTAACTTTCATTCACCAGCACTCCATGACTGCCTCGTTTGCACGAGGCTGTGTTCGTGGAGTGCTCGTGGCTTGAGCTCTCGGAGAACCACTGCTCAGTGAGTCCTCCAGTGGTCTGATGTTCACCTTGGGGTGTGTCTGGGTCGTGGTCAACAATCATTCCCAGAGCTGTGGTAATCTTCGTCCGTCTTCCCCCGCCACCTGAAGGGGAGCTGCAAATGGTTTCCTAAGTGTCCTTGCGTCAGATTTTTCCTCTGGAGAGATTTGTGTTAAACATTAAGACGTGTGCAGGAGGGGGCCTCGCAAGAGAGTAAAGGTTAAACTTCTAATTTAGCCTCCAGCATTCTTTGAAAGAGTATGTTGATAATTAGTTATATTTAAGTGCCACTCAAATTTGCTGCTGCTCAATTTGTATGAATAAAGATGTTAACACATAGTGTACATTATCAATCAGTTTACTTTTATCCATCTCCCGCGGAACCGAAGAACTTCTACTCTATCATTCAGTACAATGTACACCAAATCTGTTTTTCCTGACGGGTCGTGGAGTACCACGGAATATCTTAGTTTTTTTAATTTTTTTATGTCCAAATAGGAACTGGATGGGAACCTAATTGGATGTGATTCACCTCGCCAATTTTACTTGCGGAATTTTGTCCCCCTTCAGCAAAACTCCAATTTTCCTAACAAACTTATAAGTAAGAACTTTTTAGGCTGTTGTTGTTGAAGCGGATAATTCTATTGAAGTCTTTCGCGTGTAACACAAGCCATACGTTAGGGAAAAATTCGTTGGAGCGACTCGGAGAAAGAATCATGCGTGTATTGTAATTTAAAACATGACGATCAGACTACTGATGGTCCACTTGACAGTTGTTTAATGCCAAGTCTGGTAACGGAAAACATGATATGTCCAAGAGGAAAAGGTGTGAAGTGTTAAACACTTCACAATTTTAGTTACGGAAAACACTTAGTGTTTTCCAGAAATAAAGGATCGAGAGAAGTGTGTGGAATTGGAGAAAGACAAAAGTGCATGCTATGCCCTTCAGATGTCATCTAAGAGAAACGTTACTGGTCTGCTCATATATGATAATGCTACATTATAATTTATAATGCATTTCGAGCTTAATGTACAATACTATCCTCTAGTCATAATAAAGCATAACGCTGGAGAAAGATGTATGTAAAAGTGTCATAAAGGGTACATCATCTTAACCCCCTTTGATGATGATGTTACATCTTCAAAAGATGTAACATCCCTTATGACACTCTTTTGATGAGCAACATTGAAATTTATATGAAAAAGTTATACACAAAATGGAGCGATCAATTTTATGTACATCATACATGAGATAGATTATGTGCAATGAACTCTAAAAGTAACGATATTTTGTCATCTTAAATGAACATATATCGTCATCATTATTGATAATAAGCATCTTTTCAACATTGAGAATGTTAAAAATATTTAATACACAATTTGAAATATTTAATAATAATATAATTATGAGTAATTAACTGTACACATATTTTCATTTACATGGTTTATTATTAATATAAACCAAATAAGTACATTACTCTTCGCAAAATATTCTGTCAATAACAGTTTATGTGAAAAATAAAATTGAATCAAATATAAAATATTTTAAAATGAAAAATTGATATTTATAAATTAAATTCAAATTGTATAAAAAAAATTTCAAAGAAATTTGAAAATTAGTTAAATAAAATTTTCCCTTGAAACCATCCTTAGTATAGTTTTGAAACTAATTTACTGGTAACATTTCATATTCACTTTATGTTGATTCAAATATCATAAGCTAATCCAATTTTTATTTTTTTTAAATGATTCTAAGGATGATTTTAAGTTGATGAGAATTATGATTCTAATGATGTTTATTTAGCGTTAAATTTTCTAAATAAAAAATCTAAGAGATACTCATGATACTCAAAATAAAATGTCTTTTTCATTTTAACCTAAGTTGGTTTCTTTTGCAGTAATAACATTTAGATCGTGAAACAAATTGTGATTTCTTAGAAATTTTTATGAAAAAATAAATTATACATTTAATTGAATCCAATTACTTTTACTCAGAATACAAGAAAGTACAATTCATTGACTGTTACAAATATGTTATTTAATAGACCAAATAACTCCTATAAATGTAAGAAAAATATATCATTAATTTTAAAGTAAAATGAATTACATAAAAACATAAAAGTAAAGTTAAGCAATGTTTTAATTCAATACAGTTTAATAAAATGTGGATTGAAACTTTAATTGACTACAATATTTTAGCATTCTTTTGTTAGTAATTAACTTTGAACCTAGTTAAGGTTTTGATTATGTTGTAGCTCTAAATGAGAATTATTCAAAATTCTTGATCATCAATTTTTTTTTTTATCCATAGACATAGTGCGCAATGGCAAAATATTTTTTTATGTGTTGGCATTTCTATTATCCTGGTTTCAACATCTTTGCAAATATTGGTGTTTTTTTGAAAAAAGATCTCAACAATGCGTATGAGAGCAAGTTTGAATTGAAGTTACAGCTTTTACTACTTCTATTCTTTACGTCTCTGCAAATATCTCGGTGTTTTTTAGAAAAAGATCTTAACAAAGTGTATGCGAGCAAGTTTGAATTCAAGTTACAGTTTTTACTACTTCTATTCTTTACGTCTCTGCAAATAGCTGGGTATTTTTCTTGAAAAAGAGCTCAACAATGTGTACGAGAGCAAGTTTGAATTCAAGTTACAGCTTTTCCTACTTCTATTCTCTACATCTCTGGAAATATCTCAGTGTTTTTTTGAAAAAAATTTCAACAATGTGTATGAGAGCAAGTTCTAAATCAAATTGTAATATTTTCTAATTGTCTCCCTGCAATTCTATTTTTGAATTTAGAGCTCTCTTAATTGATTCAGGTTTGTTCGAAATTTGGTTATTCAAATCGGTACATTCGAAACTTTTCACTTTGAGTTCTTTGATAGTTGATTTCACTGTTGCAAAGAGATGATGAGGGAGGAAGGGGAGAAAGAGTACGAAGAAAAATAATAGAAAAGGTCGCAATGAGAGTGAAGGCGAGAAACAGATACAAGCTCATAACAAGACTAATGCCATCAAGAATCACAAACATTTGATTTCTTTTCCGTTATTATATTGTGATGCAAAATGTTAGCCTATAGCCACGAGCATCAAGATAATAGTCTGGCCCCATTAGCGATTTCATTCATACTCGTTCATTACGCAGTCGCCACGCCTTTGCGTTTGACTCTCTTACTAAATACATGTATAAACAACTATTTCACAAACGTATTCATATATGCTTGTTTTTGGCATACGATGCTCTTTCTTTCTCTCCCTTATTCCGCTAGACGTGCGCTCTATTCTGATAAGAGGCGCAAAAGGCCAAACAACTTATGATAGGAATATGACAATCACTTCACGTTCCACATGTGTTCATGATGATGTCACGTTATCATGACACTTTTTGACGATGACATTTCCACATTTCCATCGCTAATGAAGATCGCAAAATCTATGTTTATAACTAACTCATATATCATGACATAGTAGTTTCATTTCTTGGTATTAAGATTCTACAAGGTCAAGAGTTAAAGTTTTCTCCGAGTACTGTGAACTTGGCACAACAACCAAGCTATAAAGCTCTCAACATATATATATCAAGTTGTAAGAGACATGACCTACCTTATTTCAATTCAAACAATTTGACATAGAAACTCACAATCAGATCGAGAGATAGCTACAATTGAAAGAAAAAGTCAGTAAATTGAAGCTGTTATGTGCGAAGCTTACCAAATATCTTACTTACTAAGGCAATTACAGTAATCCAAACATCTGGATATATAGCATGACTAAATACATCAATATATTAATCACAAACATGCTTGAAATGAGTAGAACACCCTTAACAACTCAATAGGTAAAACATGTCTATGTACATGTCCATTTATGCAACAGTAGGAAAAAATTACTATATAAGCTATAGATTGGACCATGGTTGCTTACTCATCTCAACATTTGAAAAACCTCAAAAGTTTAGCTACATGTTTTCATATACCTTGGTATTGAACGATTGCATGCTCAACCACTTTAGAACAAAATGTGTGACCTTTTCAATTACAATACTTTTATGTAATGAATCATCCATCCTTTCATTTGACTTTTCACAGTTTCTTCCTTAAGGCATTAGTTTAAGAAGGGAAATTTTCCACTCAAAATTCCATTGACAAATTTAATTTACGACAGATTCAATCCAATTTCAAGCATAAGTGAACGTTTAATTGTTTCGATTTTTGGAATTGATATGCATTAGTTCATGGACATAAAGTCCAAATAAAGTACACATTAGCAATTTAAACCATAACCCCAAAAAAGTGTCGAAGATCACCAATACACATCACTTCTTCAATACAACATGAGTAACATCAGATCTCAAATACATTGATGACCACTCACCCTTTTGAAACCCTCATGTAGTTTATTTCCAAACATTAGTTTATTATGGGGATAGCTAGGTTCAAACCCTAGCGTCTTGTGCAATTAGAGACTTCAATCTCCACAACCGATCTTCAAGGAACATGATGCAACTCTAGTCCCATGAGACTGAAATTATTGGTTGATGCTCAGCTAAATATACAATGATCACGTACAGTATAAACGACACAGTAGTACTGTAATCTGTAGAGTCGAGGCACGCACTTGGCCACGCTCTCTTTCCTCTCCATTTGTTTAGGGACTCGGATTGCTTTTACTGTGGCGAATTTTGCCTCCGCTTTGTACTGCTGTCGATGGTTCCCGATCGCGTTGTGGTCCATGTATTTTCTTTCTGTTTCTGTCTCTTCTAGACACCGCACTTTACCATCATCATCGAGCCACCAATAGATCTGTGCCAGTGAGATCCAAAATTCTGCACTGGATGGGAGCAATGTGGTAAACTCGTGGTGAAGATTCAGCGTTCACGTCAATATGGACTGTAACTGATGTACATATGTTCCTCCAGAGCGTTGGCATCATCAGCACGCCACCTGTGAAGACTTTCCACTGCGAAAGACAGCTAGAACTGCTGTGGCCTGATGAACCTGTTCTCTAGGAGCCCAGCTATGGCGCCGATAGATGCAGTCCCAGCTCTGCGGCTTCTAGATTCACATATTGAGCATTGAAATTGCCTGATCGACATCCTTGTCACCTCGACCGCTGCAATTGATAACGACCTTCGTTCCGTCAACTACGGTCGGACACAGCTTCTCGAGGTACGCCAATGCGTGTGCAGTTTCCAGAGCCGGGATGATGCCTTCGAGCCTGGACAGCAGCTGGAAGGCGGCAAGAGCTTCGGCATCCGTAATACTATAGTATTCGGCACGACCGATGTCTTTCAAAAAGCTATGCTCCGGGCCGACTCCAGGATAGTCCAATCCGGCGCTGATGGAGTGACGGCCAAAGAGCTCACCATCATCAAGCATATAACTCAAAGATCCATGCAGCACTCCAATGTGGCCCATACTCAGAGTAGCTGCATGCCGAGGAGTGTCGGTTCCCTCACCCCCGGCCTCCAGGCCTATCAATCGCACCTCCTCGTCGTCCACGAACTCATGAAAGAGACCCATGGCATTCGAGCCGCCTCCACAGCAAGCCATCAAAATGTCGGGTTTTCCACCCCATTTCTCCAGGGCCTGTTTCCTCGTCTCTCTCCCGATAATCGACTGAAAGTCTCTGACAACCATGGGGAAAGGATGAGGGCCACATACGGAGCCGAGTATGTAGTGCGTAGTGTCCACATTATCCACCCAGTCCATAATAGCCTCGTTGACGGCGTCCCTGAGAGTAGCCGTGCCTGAATGCACAGGCCTCACAGTCGCCCCCAAGAGCTGCATTCTAAACACGTTCAGAGCTTGCCTCTCAATGTCCGTGGCGCCCATGTAGATTACACATTCCAATCCAAAGCGGGCGCACACCGTGGCCGTGGCGACACCATGCTGCCCCGCCCCGGTCTCAGCCACGATCCTCTTCTTGCCCATGATTTTCGCCAGAAGCGCCTGACCCAAGGTATTGTTTATCTTGTGGGCTCCGGTGTGATTCAAGTCCTCTCTCTTGAGGTAGATTTGAGCCCCTGTTCCATCAGCTCTCTTGTAGTGCTCGGTCAGTCGCTCTGCGAAGTATAGGGGCGTTTCTCTCCCCACGAAATCCTTCAATAGTCCATTCAATTCCGCTTGAAATTCGTACGTTGTAACCACGCTGTTATATAGCTTCTCGAAATCCATGAGCGCCTTCTCCAATCTCTCAGGCACATATTGGCCCCCAAACTGACCAAACCTTCCGAGCGAATCTGGCCTTTGGAATTCCTTCACACCAGTCGTCGCCGTCCTCTCACGAATTTCCAAAGCAGAGACTCTCTCAGAAGGAATTAACTTGCAAAATACTAAACCAGAGGTGTTCTTAGCGAAGGTCAACTCGATCTTCCTCGTCCTGGCGCGGCAGCTCTCCTGCACTCCTACCCACGACGACTCAGTTCCTGCAGCTCTCGATGAAAATTTGGCACGGGTCCAAACACGGCCTCCACAGCATTGAATTGGCAAGTTGTTCAGAGTTGCCATTCCGCTCACTCGAACAAAACTCTTGAACCAAATAAACTCAAACGCCACAATGCGCCAGATACTTTCTCACGGCCGATCCTCGAAAACTTTCTTCTGCTTCTGTTGGCCTCAACTTATTGTGATCCCCGGGACTGAGGCCTAGTTCCGTACCGACATTGAACTTGACTGCCCGGGCCAATCTAGACGTTACACCCAAATGCATAATCAAGACTAGGTCTTACCCGCCGAATGAAGAATAGATCTGCCTGGAGACTTCTGCCTTTGAACCGGTCAAGGCATCCCCTGCATTGACAGGTAAAGAAGGAACCAGCAAGGTACTGACTCCCGAGGTCAATACAGTCTGCGCTATCATTATACAGTCAACACAGTCCATACAGTCTGCACCAGCAATGTGTTTCAACGATAAGAATGTTCGACAGAAACATGGCACAGGGGTATAAAAAAAACTCTGACATCATAAGAATGTTAAACAAGTCTAATTGTTTCAACGATATACTTGTTTTACATTCTTAGGATATCAGAGTTGTTTCTTGAAATAATTGTACTGGCTATCTCGATCTGATAGTAGAGATATAATCATCTATAATAAATTTTGCAAAGTAAAAATATACTCGATTTTATGAATGAGAGTGAAATTGTATGCGATTCTACTTCAGTCCAAAATCAAGAAATCAGTTTATATATGTAGTTTGAAATTTAAAGTACTCCTCTTATAGATTCACTTCTAGCAACCATATTCACCAAGATCATTACAGTGTTCTTTTGGACAGGCTTTCACTTTTATTGGTTGATATTCAAGTTGTCATCATGTGAAACTGTTTCGTCTACTTTTTTAGCATTAATTTCACTCCTATTTGGAATGATCACTTTTTTATGATGGGCTCTTTAATTCTCATTATCAGTCAAACCTTCGATTACTTGCTGCCAAGATTCGTTCTAATTTTCAGAATCAACATGTCATTCTGCACGGCACAAACTCATTTAGATCTCATTCTTCATCTATAGCTTTATGAATAATGGCACAAGGCGGGCGCTTCCTATAAATGTCTTACAGAGTCTGAAAATTTGGTGATGCGTTATATAGATGTTGCACTTGCCGAGTATATATTGCACGTAGATTGCTCTCTTCTACAAGAGGCTTTAATTTATGCTTTGATAAAGCTAGATAGAATTTTATTTTGTATTGCTGAATAAATCACTTGTCTTCTTTACAGGCTTTTATTCATATGCATTTTCATCACACTTGATAAGCTTTGATGCAATTACCATGAGTAATTTGATGACATAGTCACACCGAAAAGCTTCAAGTGTGTGATATGAGACTTCACAAAGATAATTTTTTTGTAGTGATGAGCTTACTACACCTATAATAATCTTCACTTGTGGGACGATCTTCGAACTTTCCTATCTTTCAAATTTTGATACATAAGATCATCCTTGAAAGTTAGTATGAAACTAGTCTGGATGCGTTATCGTGTTTTTACATAAGCATTATGACGTACATACGATGCTTTACTCATAAAAGTAACACTTGAAGCAATATCTGTTTTCTCTCTCTCCATGGGCGAAACTTAAAACATACCCAATGACTAGTTAATCCAACAAGTTCAAAATGCTTCACATTGAAGATTTTTTTATACATCGATTCATGACATTTTTCAATCTTATTTCCTTTGTATATTTTGACAAAGGATACAAACTGAATGTTGGGCTGACCATGCATGGGAGCTTTTTGACTCCCATACTTTGCTCTAAAAACGAGGTCCATCCTGACTTGACTTGTCTTTGCTCTACGGGTCCTCTGGACCGAAATGGCTCTGCCGCTCACGAGACCCCAGCTCCCCGCGCCTTACGTGCAGCCTAAGGCCTCTTGCTTAAGAGACCATAAGCCTGTTTCTTGGGTTGACCATGCATAACATACATGACTAACATACTTTTCTTTAGCAACGAGGTCCATCCTAACTTAATATGTCTTTTCTCTACTGGTCGTCTGGGCAGAAATGGCTCTGCCGCTCACGAAGCCCCAGCTCCCCGCGCCTTACGTGCAACCTACGGCCTCTTGCTTAATGGCCCATAGCCTGTTTCTAAACTTCAAATTTCAATCAAAACAAATAGATACGTAAAGAGAATGGTATGTATAGCCACTTCGGTAGTGCTCGCTTCTCGACTTGGATAGAAAGATTTGAACGTGTCACTTTATCCGCGCAAGGCAGACGCACTGCCAGATTGACCTACACCTTGGGTCACCTAAAGTGTGTTCTATTGAATTTTAGGATTTGATCAACATTAATAAAAACGGTTTATTTTAGTCTGCATCGAGCCAGCGCCTGGAAGCGCACGCAGCGATTTGGCCCGGACATTGTTAGAAAGAGCCTTTTTAGAAAGTGTTTTCAACTGAAGGGTGTCGTCTCTAACTACCAGGGTTTCATTTGCACTCACATGTGGATGTGATAATGCTGTAGATGTTACAGGTCTTCATATGATTGCTGGTTTATTTGAATGATTAAAGTTACACACTAAGATCTGATGTTTCTTGAAGCACAAGAGGATGGAGATATCAAATGCTACTTCCATCATAGCAAAGATGAAATTCTTCTTGTTGGAGATGTCAATGCTCACTATATTGTGCACAATTTATCCAAGTTGGTGATCTCTTGACTTCTCCTTTCTTTGAAGAACTTGAAAATAATATGTGGTCTAGAATCTTTTTTGATACTTCTACAAATTCTTTGACTTAACATTTCTTAACATTAGAGCCATATGTAATTTGAAAGTTCTCAACGGTATCTTTCTCTTTCCCAACTCACAATTCAATATATGTTTAGCATTATTGATTATATTTTATCCTCGATCACTAGTAGATCTCTTATCTCAAACTATGATATTGTAGAACCTCAGCCAGAATCACATCATGCAACTCTCTTATTTACTTTCTTGTTGTCAAAAACGATCCCTCTCTCTCCAGCCATTCTGTTCTAGCTCCTCCCAAGTTTCGTTTAGATCCTAATAAGAAAGATTTTTACATGCTACATTTTCAAGATCTTTTGATCCACACTTTATGGAGCCTTGATCCACATACAACGAGTGAATAACTATCAGAGTTTCTCAATACATTGCTTCTAAGTTCTTGTTTGCAGCACAAAAGATCGGAGAGCTAGGGGTTGTTCTTGCAATGGATGGTTTGACTTTGATTGCAAGCAAACGAGGATGAGATCAGTTGATAAGTCTTTGGATCTCCGAAGTCGGCTTATATTGAGAAGGCTTTACAAAGACTTAATGAAGTTTAAGAAACGAGCTTTTTTGAGGACGAAGCAAGAATCATTGACAAAGGAATTGATGAAAAATTTCAAATTTTTTTGAAGACGATTAGCAGTAGGGTTTTCTAAATCCACTCTTGATCCAAAAAGTTTGATTGCCTTTGCTGCAAAGCTTTATTTTTTTTCAATGCCTTGTTGTGAAAGAATACTTGGTTTATTTTTTGAATCAAAGATGATGATTCAAGTAAGAAAATTAGCAAATAGTAAATTAGAGGATTTGGATGATTTATATTGAATCTTTTAAGTGAGAAGTAGATGTTATCATCGCACCATCATGGTTGGTATTGTTTTTGCCAAGTTGTTTGGGAAGTTGGTAGAATCGAAGTTGAGCACATGGACAGAGGATTTTCAGAAGAGAGCAAAGGCCCAAGCCGGTTTTCGTCCTACATACAACACTATTGACCATATTTTGGCCTTACGTGTTTTATGGGAGAAATCCAAGGGCAATGGGAAAGCTTTATTTTGTGCCTTCATCGATTTGAAGAAAGCTTTTGATACTGTTCCTCGAAAGCTTTTATGGGAAAGACTACAAGACATTGGAGTACCGGCTAATCTACTCGGAGCTGTGGCCACTTTATACACTTCAGTTCGAGCTAAGATTGATGCCTCTCAGCCTCAAGAGATCTCGAGCACCATTGGAGTTATTCAAGATTGTCCTCTCTCTCCTACTCTATTCGGAATATTCATAGATGATATAGAAAGGTGGTTGGATGATTGTGAGAGTGAAGGAGTCAAACTTGGAGACTTTGTGATCAAAGCTCTTTTGTATGCAGATGATATCATATTGCTAGCACGTGATGCAATTAGTTTACAGAAACACCTTGATACTTTGGCTAGCTTTTGTACTCGAAATCAGATGGAGATCAATCTGGAAAAATCAAAGATCATTCTTGTGGGCACTAGATCCAAGTTCTCTCTCTTTTACAAGGGACTAGAATTGGAACAAGTGAAGAGTTACAAGTATTTAGGCATTGATTTTTCTCAGAATTATAGTTGGGCACTTTGTGTACAAAAGAGAGTAGAAGCTGGTTACAAAGCTCTATATTCATTGTTAAATCGATGTAGAAGAGCTCATCTAGTATCTTGGAGTCTTAGGAAATTTTTATTTAGGAGTTTAGTGTTGCCGGTGGTTCTATATGGGACACAAGTGCGGGGTCATGGCAGTAAGAAGACAAGTTGGGAGCGTGTGGAGAGGGTGCAAAAGATCTTCTTACAAGAAGAGTTAGGTGTAAGGAACCAAGCTCCTTATGCTATTCTTCTTGCGGAAACCGGTTGTCTACCTCTTGAGGCTGAAGCTCTCTACTTGACCATCACTTATATTAGAAGGGTGAGATCTCTTGATGCTTCTCGACTTCCTCTTCATGCTTTGCGTGCCACACGTTCCAAAGGATGGTTTGCAGATGTGATGACTTGGTCTTTGAGGTGGAATGTGACGGAATTGGATTGGATTCTGCAACCTATGGCCCTTCGCGAGCGTATTAAGGAGGAGTTTCTCCACATCATTTGGAGGAGAGGAGGCACTAAAATGCAGTTCTATCAACTTCATGTGAATCCTATGCTTATTTATTGTGAGCAAGGGTACCTTGTTGCAGAGATTGCTACATCTTTACGTCATATTATTGCCAGGCATAGAACAGGATCTCATAGGCTTGGAATTGAGGAAGGACGTTGGTTGAATATTGATAGGAGTGAACGGATTTGTAGGCTATGTGATGGGAGAAATGTTGAGGATGAAGAGCATGTGTTTATTACTTGTACTAGATATATAGAGATTCGAGTGGCGCATAAAGTTGATGTCGAGAATTTCTTTTCTCTGCTTCAACTCGAGCCTTATGATTTAGGTTGTTACATTAGAGATATTATTAGTTACCGTTCTAGTGCTTTGGGCAGTAGCTAGGGGTTCTTTTGGTTCTCTCCTAGTTTGGAGTT